AGAAGCAGAATAGAAAAAACGGCAGTCCCTACAAGTTGGCTGTGATCTCATGATGATGATCTCATCATCTGATGCATAGCACAGATGGAAAAAAAAGATGATCACCTGACATATCACATGATGCATGGAGGGAGCTCAGACAATGTCATCACTGTGCTGGCAATGGTGGCATCAAATTCATGTGTGTGTGTTCTTATTTGGCTTGAATACATATATAGGACAGCTTTCTAGCAAATGTTACATTGGCTCTCCACCACCTAACAGCAAAATGGAGAAACGTCCACATTTTGGTTTGGTACTTATGAAAATTTCCATATTCATGAGCTAAGGCACAATGTCATTCAAGGCAGAACAGTAACGGTCTCTACAGCTGAGTATTATTATATATCACACTTTTTACATTCTTGGCATACATTTCTCTTTTGACTTGTTTACTGTATTCAGAAGTTTGTTTGGACAACAACAATGGCCAATACTCCTTGAAAACTTTATTTGTGGGTAATTTCAAAGGCAAAATGTCTGTACTTTTTAAATGTCCTTTTGACAAGGAGTGCCTTGTGTGACAAAAGCAAAATACCCCCAGAAAGTATTGATGAAATTCGTTTCATCATACTTTTATATCTTAAAACCCAAATTATATGTTCTTAATCAGTATGAAGGACAATCCAAACATTAAGAAAACGCCAAATTTGGTGCACACATCTCATCTTAAATTCCTAAGTCGAGCTTTAGGAACAAGAATTCATCCTGCACTGACACTTCAAAAGACTTCTGTGCTGATGACGCCACACTTTGTTTTAAACGTGTGCTTTCCTACGTGTTCAGTGGACAGTGGGCCCCCACTGGCTCCATAGGAAAAAGCACATGTAAATAAAAAGTGTGACGTCATCATACAAAGGCCGATGACTAACTAAGCACTGGAGCTGAAGGAATCCCCAAATGTGCCACTCACTTGAATGACTTAATGAATCTGGCATTCGACTCCCTCAGCATCTGCAGCGTGTCGTCCAGGTACTGGCGGAACTGTCGCAGCGAGGCACGGATCACATCCATATGGGTTTCTACCTTGGTGCTGACCTGGTGCGATAAGGCTACAAGACTGAGGACAGAGACAAACACGGTTGATGGTCAACTACCTGGACTGATGGAATAGACTTTAGTTACTTAAGTGAGTGTTACAATGAAACCACAGGGACAACAAAGCTGGAAAATCAACAACTTGTCCAGAATCATTAATTTGGAGCAAATTATGTCTGATGCCATTGAAAATCAACATGGTGAGCTTAAGAATCAAAAAATGTGTAAGTGTGATCATTACATTATTAATTTAACTCAGAATAAAGAGAGAGAGATATTAAGAAATAAATACAAAAGTTTTTGTTTTTGATTTACATCAAAAGAAACAGCAGAATATGCTCTTCAAATCACATATGAAAAACATCTCCTGAAGACCCATACCATGGCATTCGCTCACATCTTTCCTACAAAAGGGAACTCTTAAATACATTAAACTGCCCTGCACTACAATGCACCATAACCGGGCAAAAGTACTTGAATAATTTGTTGAAGTGGATCTTAAACTCTATATCCCTAACAGTCCTAAAATTGTCCATTTTAATACGACTTTTTTTTTTTAAATCCCAGAACATTGGGCAAGGAAAGATTCTACATGTACAAGAATACGGGCAATTCCCACTGCATGCAGTGCACCACTAAGAAGTTGTCATGGAGAGGCTTTTTGAAGTGCATTATGGGATAAATAGTCGAGAAAGTCTCATTCGCTAACTGCAGAAAACTTGAATATTTCCAAATGCTTACCTTGAATGAAAATTCAAAATTTGCTCACTGCAAATGGGTGTAAGGTTATCAAAATGATGGTTTTTTTGTGGTGCAGGGAATGTCTAAATCAATCCAATATCCCCAAATTATGTATGAGGTGCGCTTAATCGCGGCAGCGTGTCGACCATAAAGTGGTCGGTCTGCGGTAAATTCTGGAAGCGCTGTATTGTGAATTGTCCGTATTAAGGTGCATGCACTTCTCATGACTAACTTTTTTGTTCCGATAACCAAAAACAAAAAACTCACGTAGCTGATTTGCTGGCGTTGACAAACACCTCCTCCAGGGCATCGATCTCCTCCCGGAACTTGTCGGCCAGCCGGTTGTGCTCATGCTGCATCTCGGCAAAGCGCGCCTTCACGTCATTCAGGGCACCATTGATGCCCTTGGAATGGCGTGAGACACGCTCCTGGTGCAGGACCAGCTCGGCAGCGCGAACATGGTGGATGTCCAGTTCAGCGCGCTTGGCCCGGGGCCCGTGCAGGTGAAGGCGTAAATCTAGCTCGCTGTTCAGCTCCTCAATCTGAGGTCAAACGAACCAATAAGCCATTCGCGAGATAAACTTGAATGAAATCTGGTACACTGAGTTATTTGATTGCACACAAACTTAACAATTTTAATTCCCCAGACTAAAGACGCTGTTGCAATACCTCGTGATTCGGGGCAAGCTTTTGCATAGTGACCACCATCTCTGGAATGGACTGGTTCCTTTGTGCCCTTCTTATCCATTGAGAGCAGTGTATTGGTGCAAGACGTCTCTTATGTAACTAAGCAAAAGCTTGCCCTGAATCACGAGGTATAGCAACAGTGTTTTTAGTATGGAGAATTCAAATTATTATGTTCCCGTGAATTTAAAGAACTCAGAGTACCACATTTTATTCAAAGGTCACTTGCAAAAGGCTTATTAAAACCATTACTGTAGCTGAATACCCCTATGACCAGCAGGTTTTAATTGTCTAAAATGCACACGGCACAAAACACAATAAAACAAGGCCAGTAAGCTGACATCATGTTGGCAGTGGTTCCCTGGTGGTCTTACATTTTTCCTATGCTTGACACTCCTTAACCTGTTTTTCATGTGTATCAGTGTGAAAGCTGTAAATGAATTGAGACCAGAGACTGATTTCTGTTTTGAAATAAAAATCAATGTCCACTTGTCTCTGGCAGTACAGAGACTCATGGCCAGCTAAGAATGTTTTTTCAAATGTTGGGTTCAAATATCCTTTCCTGTGATCTGCTGACTTGGTTCTGAGCTGAAAACTTTTCTCAAACATAACCAGCGATAACCTCCTCAATCTTAGTTGTTGCTGGTAACAGGTTTGATGTTTTAAACAGTTCAAATCATACCGAAAGCCATCTTTGCTTACTTTGGCTGCAACAACGCTATTGGCTCTTTCCACAGCCTCCACAGACCACATCTCAAGATGGTTCAGAAACTCCAGCCGCATTCTGCATAGAGAAAACTTGTTTATTTAATAAAATAAAATACCTATATGTGGTTTACTTCATCTTCACCCTTTTCTACTTCTAATTGGTGTCTCTGCAACGACTATTTCACAACTAGATCTCAAATTCTTAAGTCTGGTGGCAGGGGGCTCATATTTAAACATCTTGTAACCCGACGTAGGACTGGGTTACTCACAATGAAACTTGTAAACAACCAACTTATATGAATGTGTAAGGATTTTCAGTTTGATTACCAGAAGGGGAAATTCTGCATTATATAGTATGCACATGAAACAGCTAGATAGAAAACAGGGAGGTTTTCCCCAATTTTAGGTGCCTGAATGAATTGTTTGCTAAGATTTCCATTCAGCACCCACACTTTCCGCAGCTCTCGGAACAGCTCCTCGGGGATCATGACGTTCTCGGTGTAAGCTGCTACCGCCTCCCGCTCTGGTATCTCGCTCTCTGTCATGAAGGCGGCAGCCCCGTCTTGATCCTTCCGAGCATCCTCCTCGGATATCCCATGCTCCCCAGCGACGGTCAGCACATAGAAAGTGGTGCCGGCATTTGTGGACAGGACCTCCTTGACGGCCATAGGCACTGGGCTCTGACTGACGGCGGACTCCCCGGGCAAACTCTGGTGACGCAAAGAAGTGACAACAAAATTACCCACCATCTTTGACCCTCGCCTTCTGTAGCCCTTCAGAATCCACCAGCAGGTTTGGCAGGCTTTTGCAGAATTGAGAAAGGTGTAACCTGTAAGCATTGCTTCTTGACATGAGGCACGATGCACCTTGAACGCTGAAGCACACATACAACTGTGCTTTTTGGGTCAATGCAGAGGGTGATTTTGGAAGATTAAGGCAGGTCTAGGCAAAATAACATTTTCATAAACTCATTTCAGTAGTTTACTGTTACTGTAAATTCTGTAATCAAAACTACACGTACAACTCTTTCAAAACAAAAAATTAAAAAATATCCTAACCTATTTTTTTCTGCATTTTTATAAAAAAGGCCAACGGACAACACTAGAGAAAACTTTTTATCTTTTAAAACATGCTCAAGAACTCGCACTAAATATAACCCAATTACATCACTGAGGCAGTTTCTGTATTACAAGAGTGGCACAAAGCCAACTGAGAATGTACATGGGTTACTCGCATGTCTTAATACAAAACACTGTCCAACATTATTCATCACAGTCAACAGTATGCAAGGAAAACATGTACCAAATCTATGTTTTCTCTGCATTTAAAAAAAGACGGCCAACGGGCAACACTAGACAAAACTTTTTGTCTCTTAGCTTTAAAAGAAAAAACATGATGGAAAAGTGTTGGTTAAAACAAATATACACAAATGCAAGCTGAGCAGATTTGTGCAAATTTTAAAAATAGTGCAATGAGCCATTCGCTAAGACTGCAAAGTGAACATGAAAGTAATGATACCATTATGTGAAAATGCATGCAAATGATGTTGAGGGCAAATAGCAGGACAAAATATGAAAACAAATCACTATTAAGCCACGTTTCTCTGGCAGGAAACTACTCTTTCATGAAATGCTTCGGTAAAAAGAAAGGAGAGAGAAAAAGAAGCAACAAACCAACAAAGAGCACCTTAGGAGTTGGGGAGGGATACCTTACCCGCTTATGGAATGCCTTCTTCCATTTCATCTTGGCCTGACTCATGCTGCTCTGTTAGCAGGCATGGGAAGCGGGAGACAGCAAGAGGAGAGGTGGTGCAAAGGAGATGAATAAGACAAGGTGCAAGGATAAAAGGTAAGGGAGTGATGGGTGATGAGAATAAGGGTGTAGCCAAGATATAAAACAACAATGAAGCAAAAGACGATGCAGAAAAAACCTCAGTTTTCATTTGGGATTATTTTTATCCACTTATCCGCTCCGAGCAGAACAAAAGAGGGCGTGGTTTTTTGGGTACTTACCATTGATCTCCATTATAATAGAGATCGATGGTACTCAACGCATAGGCGCGCCAAGTATATGTGCGTTTGACGAGGACCACGCTGAGTACGCGTAACTAACTACTCCGGCATGTATGGTCTTTGCGTATGCGCAGAACACGAGCAAGAACCTGCTTGTAACCACCTGTCTGTCTTTTGGGGGTGCACTTCAGCTCGGGGCGGATAGCCCTTGTCACAAAAAATTGGTGGCACTGTTTTTATAAAACTTTGGAATAATTCTTGATTTTCATAGAGTGCTTTAGCCAAAAAGGGGGTCCATCCTCAATATAAAAGCTTAGAATCTGAAATCAACCTGAAGGATTCTTTTGTGGATAGGGAAGCATAAGACAACATATGCAACAGCAGTAGCAGCAATTCACTGCCAAGTATACAGAACAGACAGGCCAGGCCAATACGGGGGATTCACTATAGTACGCCCCCAAGAGTTTGCAATGTGTCGCCCAATCACAATGCGCGAAATCTGTCGACCCTTTCCAAACGCCCACTGGGTCGACAGATTTCGTGCACTGTGATTGGCCAACGCGTTGCAAACTCTTGAGGGCGCACTGTTGTGAAACGCCCACATTACACGGCTCTGCCTATGCAATAACACAGCTGTGCTTTGTAGTCCTATTCCACGCTTTTACAGATAGCACAAGAAATTATGTGCAAACCAAGTAAGTAGAGAGTCCCTTGGAATGTACCCATTCAGACAAGCCAAAACCTTCAATAACCTAGGAATTATGCCAATCTTTATCACACAGCTCAATGCTAGAGTCAAGTAATTCTGCATGGTAGGCGGAGCCACAAAATCAGACACACTTTTTAGAGATTGTGACAGTGCCATGGAAGAATTGCATCTGAAGTTATTCATCTATGTGCATCGATCAGATTGGTATCCAACTTACAGTCATGGACCTTGAGGAGGATACCCTGCTGTCTGGAGGAGCAGCGAGTTCTGTTGCCGGCGTGGTGCTGCGCTGCGTCTTCTTCTTAGAGGCTTTCTTACCCCGCGATTTGGCCTCCTCGCTCAGCTCCTGCTCAATCAGGTGTTGGCGTTCCTACACTCGGCAAATAGATCAAGGAGTGCATAAGCGTAATATCATCTCACGTATAATGTACTTGTGACATGGCCACAAATGACAATGACCATCAATAAAAGTATGCTTTCGTCACAGCTCATCTGATTAGCTTGTGCATATGATGAATATTGATAGTGTCTGACCTTTTAATCCTAGTAGATGCTTTTTTTGGTTGCCTTTGACAAAAGGTTTACTAGGATAGAAATCCCAGGCCACTCCAAGTCTACAGACTGTTATTTCTGGTTACCTAAGTATAGACCAGATTCACGGTTTTACATTCCCAATGCTCTGTAATTTTTTTATAGCACCACTCTTTTAGAAAACAATAAGTACAAGTTCCAGAGAAACAATAACCCTAACTCCCAGCCTACTTTAGCTTGCCTGCCATGCCTACATCGTTTGTCAAAGTGGCTTGCCGGCCCAGTGTGACAAGATCCAACAGGTCAACCCTCCCCAAGGCCAAACAGCCTGGGAGTCTGTGGTTGCCAGTCACCACAAGATCCAACAGTGTTACTGTACAGTGGGACTAGCTTCCATTGTCTCAACGTGGCCAGTTTGTTCGGCTGCTGTTTGTTGCCATGTGCATCAAGGTGAAACAGACTTTTTCACCTGATGGACTGTGCCGCGCCCAGCAGGGATAGGGCTAACAATGCCCTACCAAACTATCCAGCTATTGCCTGTCTCATAGACGGTCAAGTGATGCCTTTGTTAACTTCTGATTACTTCTCAGAAATAGTGTTGGCTCTTACCGTGGGATGCATCCTGTCCACTTCAAAGAACGTGCAAACTGACAAGTCGTATCTTTGCAGCTCTTCCTTGACCATGTCTGGATAATCCTTCACAAGCCGCATCTGATCCTTGTGGAACTGTTCATAGCTGACATTACACAATGACAAAGATTGCCTCATTAGCTTCCTTAATGCCACAAGTATTGTTAGAAACCTTCCCAAATCTTCCAAAATCCAAACACTACACAGTAAAACCAATGGTGCATTATTTGGCTCAACAGAAGTGAGACACCAAGACCCAGGTAAAACACTGGCCTCCAAAGTTGGACTTCACCAAATACACACCCGTAGGAAACAGTGCAAAATAAGAGGGAAATATCTTCCTCTGCCATAAAACAGTACGACATAGTGAAGACAAAGTCCACACAAAGAACAAGACGGCATTATAATTATTCAATCACAAACTCTCCTTTTCAGTCCTCTTGCTGTGTTCTGGGGTTGGGGTGTGTGTGGGAGGGCTAGGATGACATGGTCCGCTAAATACAGATATCTTAGTGTACTACAACTCTCCGGAAACCCCCAAAACCCCCCAAACCCCAGAGCAAATCTACTAGTCACAAATCGTTACCAGTGATTGACAAGCCGGTCGCAGGTCGATCAAGAGTCAAATCCCACAAGTCTGGTTCCCTGTATTAGGGGATGACAAATGACTACAGAAAGCCACTGTCAAATCTCATGTAATTCCTTTGTTGTTTGACTGGAGACCCTGTTCCTTGTGATTAGTTGGTGTCATGATGGACTTGCGATGACCTGCTTCCAATTCTGATCAACAAGTTTTTAGACTTCTATCTTGTTGGTTCCTCTTTTTTTTCAAGAGTCTTTCCATCATCACCTTACTATCAACAATCACGTTGAAATTGCTTGCTTTTTAAAAATGCTGCCAAGAATTACAAAAGCTAGGATGTGTGAACCTTGCTTTGATCTTGTCCAGCATGAGCAATGCTTTCTGCAGGCGGTCCTTCAATGTTTCTTCGCTGCTCTCTTGTCTCAGCCTGTCAATGATGATATCGAGGTTGGCTTCCATATCCTAGGTGCAGGAAAACGATGCAGTGAATGTTAAGACACTTTCGCCATCTGTTTCAATATCAAAACAGTGCAGCAAAACCTGCATACCAGATTCCTTCCTTCCACACAAGCTGGTCCGCACAACAAAGCAATGGAGTGGCCATCACTCAAAACTCCAACCCATGTACTAGTTCCTTTACAAAATCTATTTGCCCTGGGCTGAAGAGTACCCTCATCAGCAAGTGAGAGGCAAGTTTTTCATTCGGGCTCCTGTGTGCACCCGGCACACACACGAAGGCCATTTGTGCCAACATAAATGGTTGAACATGCTCAGCATGCCCCGTGCCAAATGGGTACAAGTCCACCAAAGAGCTGCCATTTCCATGCGTAAAACACACCCTCCATTGTTCCAGCTCAGAGCTGATGGCAACATCTCAAACCAGCTCGTGTGACTTTTCCCTCATTTTGGTAAATCAGCTCATTTTCTTTTCCCGTTCCCACCTGGTTCTGGTTGTCATGCTCGTGCCTGCAATCTTCCAGTCGCTCCTGCAACGCACGCTCCTTCTTGGCCAGACCCACCTCGTGCACGTCCCACAGGTGGGCCGCTCCCTGGGTAAACTTGAAGAGCGAGCGCAACTGCTCGCTGTGCTTCTCGGCAAGCTGCTCCAGAGATTTCTGAAGGGGAAGAAGGAGAGACAGAAACAATCCAGCTGCTTACAGGCTGCTTCATGTTTCATAAAAGTTTTTCAAGATGTACTTTGCGTCGGGGAGATGTTAATTTTAGTTTACGGGTTTCGCTCTTACCCAAAATATATATATTTATAAACACTGTATACTCAGTGCTTGTCCAAGAGCTTGCAAAAAAATTCACAAGCTTACTCGGGTGGGACTCGAACCCACGACCTCCTGCTTACTAGTGTAGACGTCTTAACTATTCGACCACTGAACTTGCCGGGGTTGGCTGGCCGGTCCAAATCAGATGTAGCAGTGGGTACTGCAAACTATTTTCAAGACGCGCTTTGTGCAGGGGAGATGTTAAAAATGTCAAAGCATCTGCAACAGACCTCAAGCTAGGACTTGCGTCCTTTTGAAAAAATGTGCCCATTTCTTACAAGCCCGTGTCAAAATCTGTTCCCAAACACTAATACTGTAACTCATTCTACGTATTCAGTAAACATAGTCCTGATCCATGGGTTGAACCACCCTTATGAAATGAGTCCACATGGGAAGCTGGGTAAGAGCTTGAATATAGCTCTGCAAAGAGATTGCTACGAAGTGACAGTTAACGATTGCACAAACATCTGACAGCTAGTTTTGAAACAGAAAATCAGACTCATTTTGAATGCGCGTGATTCATGTGGGCATACTGGCACGAAAGGAAAAGGATGTAGGTGGTATTTTTGATGCTCAGTATTAGTTCAGAAAAACCTCTTTAATTCAGACTTACATCGATAGTTTCCAGGGTGTTCTCAAAGATCCTCTGCTGGTTGCCCACCTGTGGTAGGAAGTGCTCCTCAATAACCTCTTGTACCTTCTCCTCGGTGCACACCCCTGCCTCAAGGAGCTCCTCCTGGGGGTGAAGATGAATAGAAATCCTTGTTCTTTCCAACTCTTAACGTCATGAAATTTCCTTTGCCACAATTATTGACGACATACGATCCATCTTTTCTCTTGACACGAAGTACCAACCAACCGCTCACCCTATATTTGTCCACTTGGTCAAGGCAATCCTGACAGACTCTCTCATATTCTTTGTGTAGTTTGCCCAGGTACTTAATGTGCAGCTGTTCCAACTGTTGGTTGGCAGTGGCTAGCTGCTTGTTCCACTCGTAGACGGCAGTCTTAGTGGACCCCGGTGGCTTCATTTCCCTGGGGGTTTAAGAGGCCAGGTCAAATCACTGCGTATCTCATAGAGAGTCCATTCTTGAATGCTGTAGCTGGCATGCAACGCACTGTGATTGAAAGTTACTCTGGGAATGAGAAATTCTCTCCACATTATGTTTCTTTCCAAGGGATTTATTTTTATTCGCAAGACGTGAAAAACATTTTTCCAAAGTGGGAAAAGATTCTTTACACAAGTGGGAATTTTTTTTCTCGCCTTGCAAAATGTGAGAGCGAATGAGAAAGTGACTTCTTTTCACACATTTTCCCATTCCAATTCACAGAGTTAACTTTCAATTTGAATGTACTGTACGATAACGGTAATCACAAAGGATCTTGACCTGGTCATCTGCAAATCAAATGACAAAATCAGGTTCACTAAAATCAGGTCACATTTGCTGAAGGAACAGAGATGAATATTTATTTGTCAGAGTTATACGAACAGCTTGTGACCTGACTTGAGACTGGATGATATTGAAGTTGCTATGACTTGATCACAAATTTGATCCAGAGTGGTTTATTTTGAAAATTTTAAAAGAAATGCACCAGTTCAAAGTCCTTCTTTTTAAATGAAGTCATAAAATATGTCACAAAATGGTTCTATATTAAAATCAGTTTCTAAATTGTGTCTAATTTTAGGAAGGAACGGGGCCAATGTTTGCAAAGATTGAAGACTTACCTGAGTGCTTCCAGAAGGTCCAACCTCTTGCTGTTGAAGATCTTCTGTTCTGCCTTCAGCTCCTCAAGTAGAAAGCCAATCCGGCAGGGACTTTTCACCTCTTCGCTTTGCATAAACAATCTAACAAAATTTCAAGACAACAAAAGCCATCACCAAGTTGACTGTTAAGCTTCATAGGCATACGATTTTCAACGGCTGAAAATTGGTGTACTCTGTGCGACCAATCTGTCTTGTGCACTTGCTGTGCTGAGGAAACACATCCACGTGAATACAAACCCCATGCCACGTTAAACTCTCGTGACTACTTTACTGAAGATCTTTTCACAAAAACTAATCAATTCCTTCGCAGTATCTCCTGCTTGACAAGGCCAACATAATGCCTTTGATTATTGTACTGTAAGCCAAGGATTTCTGATACGTGTAGAAAATAATTCTATGCCAAGTTTCAAGCACATTTCTCCAGTTAAGGCATATCAACTTATTGTAACTTGGTGTTCAATGTTTTAATAACAGGACTAGTACAAAACTTTTCTTCTATCATTGCTAGTATAGAGTGCTCATCATCAGTGCAGAAGCCTCTGGTCAGCAGACTCACATACAGGACACACCTCGACAAAACTTTGGTGCCCCATGACTTCTGTGCTCGAACAGCAGAGTGCATTATGACATCCCTTCAGGCCAACACACTGCCCCTGCACGAGTACATGTACCTGCGTGCATGGGTAATTGTGAACTAAAAATGTGCAGACCTGTGACACATTTTTGCATGGGTACCAGGCACCAGATGCAAATAGCAGGTGTGAGATTGGGGCAATGAAAAGAAATCCAGAAGACATCCCGCAAACAGCTTCTCACGGTGACAGGAATAACATGCTGGGAGTTTTTAGGGCTTTCACAAGCTAGCAAGGTTTGGGCACTTTCCCAAATGGCTATGACTATGGCAAAATTACACTTGGCTTTACGGAACAAAGTGCCCGAACCCCACAAAAACTTGAATGATTAATCTTCATAAACTCCTATAATCTTGATAATCCTCAGAAATCACAGGCTATACATTTTAAATGTCTGCCTAACCTTGCCCTTAACCGCTTTGTGGTAAGAGGGCACTTGCTCAAGGGGTCCATACTCACGTGAACTTATCGACCGCTACGTCGGTGTTCAGCTGCTTCCAGTCAGTCACCCGGGTCTCCCAGATGCGGTGGTGGTTCTTGTCCCTCTCCACGTCCGTCTTCATCAGCCGCGTAAACAGATCCGCATAGGCCCGCCTGTTGTTGAGTATGGTCTGGTTGATGACCTGCGCTTCCTTGCTGATCAGGCGCTGCACATCCGGTGGCATCACGTACGCAATCTTCTCCATGTTCTTGGCATAGGACTTCAGGACTTCTTGGATCTGGTAGTGGCAAAGAGATCCCAATGTCAGACTAGATAAGGCCAAACCAAAAAATAACTGTGTTTCCAGTTACCCGACCCAACCTAGAAAATCACGCGGAACCTGTATTTTTTTATTTGACAAATCAATAAAATATAAAAACTTGTGGTGCCTTGCCCCGAGCCTAATTTTGCGTAGATGTACATCGTCCTGTACATTGTATTGTTTTATTTTTTTTGCATAAGATGGACGGCTCTAGTGTGTTTGTATTTCAATAACCAGCTGCTTTACTACCCAATCACAGTGCTGCTATGTAATATTGACGTGCACATGTACAGTATTTATCTGACACTGACTTAGTACCTGCGACAAATATACACTCCCCCCCCAAAAAAAAAATCAGACCATCATCCGAACCAAATTTTGGGGCAATTAAAAAGTAAGGGTAAAAAAAAAATTCACCCAACCAACCAACCACCCTAATTTATTGTTCACCCTATTACTTGTGTCTGGTCTTGTGCATGGTCTTGTGCATGGTCTTGTGCATGGTCTTGTGTCTGGTCTTATGGTGGTCTTGACTACAGCACTTGTAACTAGTACTTTTTAATGTTTTATATACCTTTAAATTATACATAATGTTATCCAATCACTTTAAATTTTCGAATTTTTGTATTGGAGTTTTTTAAACCGAAATAAATAAATAAATACAATGAAATAAATAAAAACAGAACAAAAATGCATCTTTTCTCTGACTCTGCAAGGCACCAAAGCAGGTGTGTTGTGTCCTGATCTGGAAAATGATGTATCTTACACAGCAATACTATTTCACCACCATGACCATGATGACCACTGCAAAATTACAATTTTGAGAACAAAATTCAGACAGCCACCACAGCAGCAAGTGGAAATGAAATACTAGATGCCATCCCTTCCAGCAAAATGCATGTACGTCATTTAGGTTAGCATATGAATATTTGCAAAGCCAGTTTCACATGAACCCATTTGTCTCTCCACTGCCCTGCCTCATACTCCCTGTGCTGCTATTAAACTACCCAGGCATTGCAAAGTTTTTACAGATTCTTCAGAGAATGAGCTACAATCTTATAAAAAGTGATGCGAGTCCTACTAGATTAACCGCTTCACGGCGGAATTATTTTGACCGCGACTGCTGGGCTGTGGTTTGTCCTGAATGGAGGGCACTGTCCAGCAGCAGACCCCATTAAACCAGCAGCTGCATGGTGACTAGACTGTATGTGTGGTATGCACTAATCCTCACACAACGGTGTGGTAGTAGCAGTCCTCCAAAGCAGAGAGGTTAAAAGAACAGGGTGAAAAAGGCATGTCACGATAGGCGGCCCTACCCTGTTGAGTCTCTGAGTCTCAAATCCATCCAGTGTGTTGTCCAGGTCTGCTATCCACTGCCTCCGACTGATGGACTGACTGCCAATCAGATTCCATAACTCATTGAGCTCTCGAAGGCTGTAGTCCCTCAGATCCTGTGTCAATAAACAGATAAATCTTTTTCAAAAATTAAAGCCGTATATTCAGAGAATTCACAGAAAGTCTTTAAGAGAAGCATGAAAAAATCATTAAAAGATTGACAATGATGACTTGAAGGACTTGTCAAACCCGACTCATGCGCCCTACTTCATCTGTAGCTCTTCTTACAGTTTACAAGAGGACAACATTGCAAGTTAACTGCAAAACACCTCAGTTTGCTTGGCATATTTTTCAAGGGAAACCCACTCAGCTTAAAAATGTTCAGCAGGTTTAGGGCATATGACCAGACCCATATTTTTCTTCAGTAAATTGTAATCATACTCACATCATCCTGTGCAATTCTTGTCAACATCTTTTCGATTTCTAAGAAAAGAAAGAAACATGCGAAACAAAGCAGTTCAGTTACGGTAAATTACGGTCAAACCAGTGGCCGAGTAAATGATACAAAACAAAAAAGACAGAGAGCTGGTCACGCTATCTACCTTTGTCATTCTCCTGCAGTTTGCCAATGAGCACATCCCCGGCATCAGCGATCTTGGGTTCCAGGTCCTGAACAGAGTGACAGATGGTTACAGAGGTATGAACCAGTGATGCAATTTCTCAAGTTGTCAGACAGGGTCAGGGGTCTTCACATACAATTTCTATGCCCCAAGAAGTATCTGCAAGTCTTGGCTGCAGTAAGTGACACTCTGTGAACGCATGTCTGTGGGAGGTGGCTGCAGCCGCTAGGCATATACTGGCCTGAACCAGAACCGGGGAGCTAGGTTGGCTGGTGATTCTTTCCTCGCCTTCCACCGCAGCGGACCGGGGTCAATCCTCGGCTTGGTCCACATGTGGATTGGGTTTTCAGTCCCTACCTGAGTCCATGGGTTTTACCCAGATTATTCATCTCTGGGGTTTTCCTCCCAACTCTAAAATGGTAACTGCTTCTCAATGTCTCCCCTCTGTGGATGAGGTTAGATGTGGGTTGTTTGGCGACTGCCTGAAGCACTCCCATCAGCATGACTACACTGTAGTTAAATGTCGTCATCGCTTAGCACATTTAAAAATATCTGTATGAAATTTGTGCTTTAAAAATGAAAAAATTATTATTAATAAGCCGGACATGTGGAGGTGTATGTCTGTGTTGAACACCTCTTTGACCAATAAAGGCTTTGCATGGTAGCTATCATGGAGGGCAGTTCTTTTGTTCCACAGGGAAACCTTCTTTGTGTATACCCTGTGGAACAAAAGCACTGGCCTACAAGATGGCAGCCACGCAGACTCTCTATAGGGTATTGTAACTTGCTAAAATACAGGAGACTGGGAGTGTCACATTTCAGAACGCACACGTGTAAAGATGGTCATCTCCTTGAATTACTTTATGCTTTAGGTCAGGGTCTTACATTAGAAATGACCGTCAGATCTTGGTGAAGATCTTCGACGGCTGCCTCATGCCTCAAACGTCGGCTCTCTGCTATCCTTTCAATAATATCTGAACCAGTCTTCTCCGCCTCTGCAACAGAATAAATGAAAGGACCAGGTTTCAGCCTCAGAAGTCTGGATGACGTGTGCATCTTTGGATACTCTGTGGTCCATTTTTAGACAACCAATTATGTTTTGCAAAAGCATACATAATTCTGCACACAGGACACTGCCTTTTTTCACTGTCTTTTTTTTTTGGACTGTTGACTGAACCTTGTGAGTGCGATCATTACTGGTAACAATTGTCTTTCACTGAAAGAGATTCCAATTAGGGAGAAACTATGCCTTAAATATTAATAAAAACATAATAATTTTCCAATTTTCAAGTCAATTTTCAATGTTTACATTTTCTCAGTGTGGGATACCCTCATACGCTGTTCTACATTTACAGTTTTTGTAGATTACTAGGAAACAAGTACCCTTTGTCCTTTGCTCTATGACCCATCCCCAATGCGTCAACTTGCAAACCTACCAACACGATCTGCCAAGCCCCTGACTTCTCTGGCTGCTACCACGGACGCTGGCTCTGTGGCCGCTGCAATTTCTTCTTCTTTTGTTTTCCTGTAGGGAACAACAGAGCCACATAAAAAAAGAATCTATCATTGAAAAAAAAAACAAACAGAAATACTGCATGAATCTTTATACAGAATTACTAGAGTGGCTTTCGGGGAAAATTATGTTTTGTAATACCAATCCGCCATGCGCTGAAGTGCACCGTCACCGGCAAAAGAAAGGCAGATGGTACTAAACTTTCCAACTGGGTTCTTGCACACGTTTGGCGAGCAGGCGAAGACCATACATTGCAGACTAAATTTTTCGTGGCGCGTACCCAGTGTGCTCTGCGTCAAACGCACATGAACTTGCGCACCTACGCAGTGAATGTATACCAAAGGACTGTCAATGTCATTTCAAAACACGCCCTCTTTTGTTCCTGCTCGAAGCAGATAGCACAATATGAAAAGTGAAAATCAGAGGGGCATTCTGAGTAATGGAATTTCACAGTCCCTTTGTGGCTGTTTGCATTACCGTGATATATGGATGACTATGGTAAGGGGTTGACGGTTGAATTCCATTCAAACTAGTCACTGACCATCAGCCAATACAAAATTCCAGTTTTACAAGACCAATGATGCGAGTGGTTTAGTATAAAGTACACTGCCTTCAGATATAAGCCTTCAGATATAAGCATAGACTACACCATTAGACGGTGTAGTCTAGTAGTCCACTGTGAATTTTGAACTTTGTACTTTCTCCTGCTTCAGGTATACATGTATACGTACAGGCAAATATAGAGCTCTAACCTGCAGCACAGCTGCACCACCAACAACAAAAGAAGCCTGGCTCGGCGTGCTCAGGGAATTATAAATGTCTGCCGTGCTTTGCGCAGACTTACTTGAACAAAACCGGATTTTCAGTTTTGTAGTCATTGGGCATGCTCTCTATCCACTCAATCTGTCGGTTGGTCAACAAGCTTTCTCCCATAGAGCTCCGACCTTCCTGAACCAGTGGTATTGAAGCCGTCTTCAAGTTTAAATCACTTGGTGTGACATTTTGTTTTGTCTTCTCCAAGGTATTGACAAGTTGGACCTAAAAGCAAAGTATGAAAGATTGCTCAAGGATAAAATTCCAATGCAAACTATCTTTGACTGTTGTGTGATGGAGTTGTACGCTTGTGCCATATTGGCATTGTAACAATAATAAAGTGTACCATCATCGTGCTGCACATTTTTATACAGCTGGCACTGTACCGATACTGCATTAAATAAAGTATTAAATTTACCTTCCATAATCATGTGATCGAACGGCTGAGAGGTTAGAGGTGTGCAGTACCTACATGTACCCCAGTCAGAACCCTATCCTATCCCCAAAATGTAAAACAATTTGTCCTTTATTCTGAATTGAAGAATAAGTCTCCTTCTTTTCGTGATTCCTTTGTAGGATTTTTTTCAGGGGAAAAGTTCAAACTTGTAGGTCTGAATTCCATCTTGAGAAATGGGGCTTACATGAAGGTGAGGAGCGAGACACAGATTTGTCATGTTAAATTTAAGTTCCCTTCAACTGGGACTATGCCTGTTCAGTTTCTCTGCCAGTTAAAAGTATAAACAGATGTAATCAGGACTGCCAATGCATCATATGGCAGAGTAACTACTGACCAGATCATGGGAAGTTCTAACATAGTTCTGATAAAACCTGTCACACTAACAGGAAGAGGCAACTGCAGAAAATGGACGCAGGCAGGGAAAAGCTGATCAGAGTACATTTTTCTTATTAGGCCTACATATTCTGTTGAGAGTAGGTCTGGTCAACAAACTGCTTAAAAAAAATCTTACAAAATAGGGCCTAACATCTATGTTTCGAGACATGCATAAATGAGTGAGGATGCTATTCATTTAGGAAATTTTGATTAAAATCTTGTCTTTTGCCGCATGCTCTAGCTCTTCTATTTAATTTTCAACTTTAATTTTTTTGAAATTTCAAGTGAAGCAAATGTTTAATTCTCTGAAATAAGGCAAGAATGAGAACCGAAATTTTATGAAAATATGGACTTTAAGCTTTTAGTCAAAATCCACACTCATTTTTGTGTAGGCCTACAAAAAGCGCAGTTTGTTCTGCATTAGGCCTACACATGTACCACCCCCCCATCTCAATATACCCCTTATTAATCAGTATTTCTTTGCTTTGTAAGGACGAATGGAATCCAATGTAGGGCCTATATCAAAATATTTCTTATGACATCCTCTCTAAGATCACATGAAAAAGAAAACAGAAAAAACAAGCATGCAAAATTTATGAGCCTCTTTATCTAGGCCTACTGTCAAGTCTCCTTGGTATTTACAGTAAGCTAAGGGCAAAATAAAGACAATAAAAGGATCTGGTGACTATACTGTCATCGACCCAAGGGCCAAGGCAAGGGGGATGGTGTGTCGAACATGTGAAAATGTCACGAGTGCAGTGAATGCTAGCCTACCTCGGCGTCAAAAATTTGTCGATAAATCTTCCCGGAAGGAACTACACGCATGGGCCTTGTCTGTGTCTCTGCCATCATAGACTGATTTCTACAATGATTTCAAGAACGTAATAAAACAAACAGGCGTGGGCCTAATACATGACATGTAAGCTGCGACTGGACTGCACACAACTTCCAACCAAGAGGTGAACTAGCCTATCAGGTCTGTATTTGGCCCAGCCAGGGACTCAGATCTTGACATCGTCCTGCATGTTGATTCATTACAAGAATTCCTTTTTAAAGTCTCACAAGAGGATAGCGAACTTTTTAACACTTTTTTTATATTATCGTACAATATCAAAGTGTTTCAAACAGCAGAATATGAGAAAAATGCCAATTAGTAAGGTCTTATTCATGCACTTCCACATTCACAGTTCCTTGGCAACATATACACCGAGCATGCGCAGTGTCTCAAGAATAAACAACTATTTTTTCATGTTGAAATAAAACTACATTATAACAGAATATTACAAAATTTTACTAAGGAAAACACAGTTTTTTAAAATATAAGATATAATTACAAGGCATCTATATGGTAAAAATTGTGGTGTGTATTTTTTTATTCACTTCTGCAGTAAATCAATTCCCTCAAAAGTTGACCGAATTTTTGAAACTTTGTGTCCTTATCATGCGGACTCCACACTCCGAATTCCTAATGAAAGCATAAAATAAAGAATCCTTGCACAATGTTTCAGGTATACAAATGTTTACATTAACTTTAGATATCTGATTATTTTCGAAACTTAAAATCCTCTGTTGCAAAGTCAATGATGGGATTCTTTTCATTTGGTGCAAAGATTGAAGCCCATATTGAAATGAATCCTAACTATAAAAAAGGTAAATTCTGAACGTACCTCCAGACTCCATTCCGTTCAAACATTACGTAAAGTATTCGAGTACCTGACTTTTATTTTGGACGTTCAAGAGCTTAATTGGCCGCCCGCTGCATGTACTGTACGTATAGTGGTTCATGCATATATCATCAAACGTAGTTACTGCGATGAGTGAAGAAAAAATTATTGAACTAAAACGAAATCTGTGAAAAATGTCGCTGACAGGAGAATCCCACCCCACTAACGTGCCCCCAAATCAAAATTATGCACCTCACCATGGTCGTGGTAGGCACGGTGGACCTCATTCCCAGAGGAATTATGAAATGACAGAGGAGGAAAGGCGAGTCTTTCGAGAGTGCCAGACGGAAAGTTTCTGGTACCGCGCTATGCCCTTGGCAGTCGGTGCGGGGCTGCTTACCCAGACGCTCATATTGCGAGGAATGCTTACAACGTCTACGAGATTCGGCTCTCTTCCAAAGGTGGGCCCGATTTGATTTCTGCATAGTGTGGTTCATGATTTATTTTATTTCAGGTAGAAATATGGAAGATGTAATTGAAAGATGTTGCATCAGTTTATACGACATTTCCAGCATCATTTCATCATTTTCGAAAAACAAGTTTTCCCCATGCCAAATTCTCAGAAATGAAAATACAGGTCCTTTTGTTATTGCAGGTTGGGTTTGCATGTCTCACTGGGTACATGGCTGGAAAGATCTCCTATGTCAACACATGCAAGCAGAAATTTCTGAAGCTGGAGAACTCTCCAATTGGTGAAATGCTGAGGAAGGGTGGCAGCATGCCCACAGGCCAAGGTGGAAACTTTGGCCTGCCAGGGTTCCAGGCCGGCAGCATTGGGGAATCAGACCCAGGTAGCCCAGCTGTCACCAGGGGCAGTGACTCCTACAGTAGCTTTGGCCAACCCGACGACTACCGGGCCAACCTGGACATTGACACCAGCAATGTCAAGACTATGGACAGCCACTTTGACTTTGAGCTGACCAACGAGGCGGCGTCGGAGCTGGAGGCCAAGCGGCCGGAGATGACCAAGACTTACGAGGACCTACGCCGGGAGAACAGACAGAAGCACTCGTCCCAATACAGCCAGGTACTGCCAGGGCATTACCATCCTCGGCAGCCGACACCGCCTTCGCACGATGACATAGCTCTCAAGAAGGCTGATGAGCGCCCATTTCCGTCAGTGTCTCGCCCAAGGGTGACGAAGAACAAATACGGTGATGACATGGAATAATTGGATAGATTAATGCATGTTGCTGTATTTGACTTCAACTACACCTGTGACAGTTTGCCTAGTTGATTAATTTTTGTTTAATATGAAAAAGAACCCAATTCTTGTGTTCAGCAAATGAAAAATTCACAGATAACATTATTTGGGTTCCCTACAGTCAGTCATACATGTAGGTACGTGTAATTTTGTATTGTTTAAAGGGTCCGGCCAACAAAGTTGAACATTTGACCTGCGACTTTATACTTTTATTCATAGCCTGAAAAAAATTGACATCTCTCTGAGGTTAAGGTCACTGAAAGGTTTTTCAAACATTTAAACTTTGCCATGCTTTTTCAGACAAGAAAGAGTACTGTTGAATGGAAGACACAACTGAGTTAACGTTTCACTGTTTAAATCGTGAACACAAAAATTCCTTTTTTTAACGCATTTCTGAGAAAGGCTTGCTTGTTGACTCGTTGCCATGCACTCAGTAAATCACCAAAGAGAAAGAAATCTACAACAGCAAAATATTAAAAATTGAATAGGTTTTTGTGTACAAATCAGTGAAACACTGAGCTTTACTGCCTGGAATGACATCACGTTATCTCAGGAGAGATAAGTTAGTTATAACTTACTGTATAACTAGATAAGTAGTTATAAGAGAGATGCAATTTTGTATAGACATCATAAAGGTGCCAAAACACCCTTTAAAGAAGCAAAATGAGTTTAATTGAAATAAAAAGGTGCATTCTTGACGGTCATACCGGTAGTTTTCAAAAATGCATTGCGCTAATCTTTTAGATTTTTTTGTCTTCCCATTAGAACATTTGCGTCCTGTATCAAATGGCAGCAGGTTGTAAGCCTTGCATGTACTGGAGCATGCATAATTACTATTAGACCTATGGAAGAAACATTTTTGCCTGTTAGTCATGCCATTATGAGTGACATTCATGTTGACATGCATTCATATACATGTATGTGTAAGTACATGTATACAGTCAACTAGAATGCCAACAGAAATGTGACATTACATGTCGATTGATTGCACTCTCAGGCAGACATGGAGCATACATGTACATGCATATCCATGTACACATGTGAGCACGCTGGTCATGTGCATGTACGTATGTGAATGCTTGGCCGTGTTATGCCGTTTAGATGTGTTTTCTTCACTCAGTGTCTCACTGTCTTTGTATTATGCTAACAATGACTTCTTTTCATTTGATGATAGTCAAACGTACTGAGTAACATTATTTCGCACTGGAAAGCAATAGTACCCACCATTAATGCTTCCCACAGTTTTGTGCTGTTACTCAGAATAAAAGCTGTGCAAATGAGGAGTCAAATTGAAATGTTCAATAGATTGTTTCGATATCATAATTATTTAATAGTCGCATGCTTAGACATGGAGCTACATGATTGGAAAAGGTGGAAGGCTTACAGTGTAAAGATAAAGCATTTTAAAGGTGTAACACATCTTTACAAGACACATTGAATAGTATATAAAGGAGATGACTTCTTAAAGCTGATTTCATCAAATTGTGCAAATGTTTGCTTCATTCTGTGTCACTGTACATATTAACCACAAATATGATTTATTAATCAAAAAAGTACAGGAAAAAAATTGTAACTATGCGACCTTGCCCTACTGTAAACCTGCAATGTGGCAAGGTCAAATGTGTCGGACCATCATGGCTGCTTTCTCAATGTAATAAAAGATCATGTACATGTAACGCAGTCTTTCTGCAGAGGAAAAGTTGATGTTGAATGAATTTAATGTTGACTGCTGCCCACGATTTCAAAGGGGTGTTCCCATTTGCCAAGCATTGTGCGCATACACGCATATATAAGAGGTACCTTTAATCTGTCTATTTGAACATCAACATGTACATGTATGTCTTCCACACTGCCAGCAGCGTGTTTGTTGTGTTCTTTGGTGATGCTAGTGCATTCAATTTACATTACAATAGCTTTTCATTTCTTACAAGTATACTCGTAGTGGTGGAATCTGGTACACCTGTGACAAGAAGTACACTCATAGTCAGCAGTCAACATTAAGCAAAACCACCTGTAAGTAGAAATAGAACAGAAATACATATTTGGATAGTTCTCTTTTGTTTGGTTGATGGCTCTGCAATAAAAATAATAATCATTGTTTGATGTCTCAAGGAATTCAGGATTTTGGTGGTCCTTTTAATTTTTTACCAACCAAATGCATGTTGATGAAACACATCGAAACATGCACCACAGGTCCCTTGCACTGTTGGCTTGGGCATGTTGGGGGAAAAATCTATTAAATGGCACATTTTGTGCAATTGTTGATGGATCTAGAATATCTAGAAGATTTTCCAGATTGTAAGGGAAGTCTTTCAAACTTTTTTATGATGATCCAGCAAGCATTACCCTGTTGCTTTACATGAAATACATGTAGTAATCTAATGTGCCCATCACACACGTCATGATGCAGTTTGTGCTTTGTGCGGAGTCTAAGTGAAGACGTCAAAAGGCTTTTTTGATAGAGCCTACTCCTCTCTACACATTCTGCTTAGCCCATTTTAAATCTTTCATAAAGGTTCAAAACAATGTCTCATGGCATACTCCTTTTAATTTTTGATGCATTTTGACCATTTTAAAAACTTTTTACTGGAACAAGCAGTGGGGTGCATTTCTTCCGATGTTTGAACATGGCAGCCTGTGGTTATTGCAGTGTTTAATACCCTAACAGAGCTACATGTACATGTTTTCAGACCTCTGACTGCAGTGTTTAGATGTTTTGAATGTAAAAGCCACTTCACATACATGTACAAGCTAATGTATCATACAAGTTACAAGGAGTTGCACATGAAATAATGATATCCACAACAGTCATGGGCAATACTCAACCTGGAAATGGCACTCTGTGAAAAGTCAGGGAATGAGGCTGCTTTTTCACTTGTGTAAAAGAACCATGAATAGAGGCTGATAAAATTTTATGCTGCACTGAATATAAATGAACGACTAAGCTGATTTATACCGTTTGATTAACTTTACACAGGCAAATATGTCAGATTTGCAAGGCAAAACAACACATCTTCAAGGTATGCAAACTCATAAGGAATGGATTAAACAATTCTCCTGTTATTGGTCACACACTTGACTATGACTGGCCATTTGTGTTTGCTTGAAAAGACAAAAGCGCAGACTGAAAAGTGTCAGTAGGTCACATCCAGAAAGCAGTACACTTTTTCTTTCTAGATCCCAGATTCATCATTGTAGATACATTTCAGATACACCATTTGTCTCAAGGTCATGCAGAGACTTAATGATTCAAAGCTTACAATTTGTTTGAAGAGAACATAGAAAACCTCACATTCTTTATGAAAATCCAATATTAAATAGTCTCTCTGAAAATTGAGACCTTTGACAATGTAAAAATTAGCTGTACACAATTATCACACTTGAGCAGAGCGAAAGCCTCCCAGGCTGAAACATTTCAGTGAAATAAAATGTAAACTTTTAACATACTAAACAAACAATTGAAGGGTCCCCAACCTAATATCATTAGTATATTCACATGTTTTCTTGATTTACAAGTTTAAGTAAGGCATGCTTATAAAAAGCAAGTAATTGAAGATTGACAATTTGGGTCATGCTATGAATTCGGGCCGCGGGGGCCCCAATGTTTGTGTGTGTCCCTGTCACATCTGACATGATTTTGTAAGTTTGAAACATGTTCTTTAATTTCCAAAAGTGACTAAATGTAAATTACCTGCCAAAGAAATAAATACTTTAAAGTAACTTTTCAATGACGTATCTGTTGTCAAATTACACAGGTCAGGTCTAGCAGGAACATAAAATGGTCACACTTTTGGACCCTAAACTTACAGAATGACCCATATAAAATCCAAGACAATCTGAAAAAGCTGCTACAAAGTGGTTAACAAGTTGGCAATTTACAGGTTTGTGGTCGAGAGTAACATGTAGCTAGCCCTGTCAGTGCTCCGTCAAAATAGGAGAAGCCGGCTTGAAGTCACCACTTGGTGGACCTGTCCAAAGAGAGAATGGAAGAAAGTAATTATTTGGCCTTACAGTTAGTTAAATCTCTTTGCTTTTAGCAAATACAAATGTCATGTAAACAAATTCAGTTTTTTGATAACTATATAACTTCACAGAGGTGAACACACAGTCACAGACCTCAGTGACTACTACATGTAGTCCACAGTTCTATTGGTTCAACTCAGAAGACTGTGTGTACACATGTACATGTTACGCATAATGACCAGTGAAACTGGTGGGTAGATGTAAACGAGATGGTTTCACTGTCCAGTCAGCTTCTACATGCTCCTTGCACTACCACCTAAAATAAGCTTAATGTTCAACAGTTCAAGCTGATGCTGGAGTCAAAAGCATTGGGTTGATCAATGGCCCCACCAAAATGGCTAGGAAGATCACCAGTTTGCTGGAAAAAAAAACCTTGAAAATTGATTTGCCCCTTTCACTGTCAATGGTTTATCAGTTTGTTACTGATGAGTGTTTTGCACAACCCCCTTCCCCCCAGGAACAAATAGTGCCGACGCCCATGTTTGTCAAGAAAGTTACGTATGTATCCAGATCTAGATCTTGGAACCTGTTCTTGACACCAACAGGCAGGTACTCAGGCCCGTTGCCTGACTAGAGACTGCAGGGGGGAGGAAGTTCGTCAAACGACCCAAAAGTGGAACGTTTGGCACTGTGAACACATATTTTTATACACAGGTCTATCATAAAGTGCTTTAGAGCACAACAGCGAATGGTATGCAAATTGTAATGGTATAAATCATATACCTACAAGCGGAACTCAGAAGCAAGCGGAGGGGTTCGTTTGAACCCCCAAACCCCTTAGCCTACAGGCCTGGTACTTGGAATACTTTGGTACTAGTATCCAATGCACACCGCTAAGTACACAGAGCTCTACACACTTCTCCATATGGCGCACTGCTGAGTGCTGAATAACTGGCTGAGAGGATTACCTGTCCTGTCCTTACCTTGACTGTGCGTGCACTTTGCTAGACTTTCAAAGCTTGGTAGTGGGGGTGCACCAGGGTCTCCCGGACGTAAAGGGTGTGTAGAGGAATCGGCATGAGGCTCCTCATCCAGGGGGCTATTGGATACATCCCCCTCTGATGCAATGGATGATTCCTCAAATTCTCTGGACTGGTGGGGATGGTACCTAAAGCCGTTATCTGCCGGGGCTGTTTGGAGAGGACACAAAATTGGTGTGAAAAAATCTTTAGAAAGGATAAAGAGAGTATACTGCAATTATTGCTGGCCCTAAAATTTGTAGTTTGTCTAAAGAAGCAACCAGTGACAGCGATAACCAGAATGTTTAACTTCGAGAATTTGGCCAGGGATGGTGTGACGGTGTGGCAATAAAGAAAAAGTAAAGAATGACGTGAGATGCAGTGTCGGCTTTGGTCAATAGAGATGCATGGAGCAGCCAATGAATGCTGTATGTGATACAACTTAAAACTGGTCTCGTGAAGCACTTTATCAATTGCTCCATTAAAAGAGTACCAATTAGACCTATTTATTTATAAACAGTGAATGACCCTGTACTAGAACACATGCGGCGTTCTTATAGAAATGCAAGCAGTTTGACTTGCAGACTGAAGGCACCTGTCTATATGTATGTATTTGGCGTGCGTTATGTACACGATGCATTATGTGCTTTACTTTCATGAACACAAAAATCAACTCCATTAAAACATAACACACACGTGCATTACACATGTATGTTCGGCCGTCAAATTGCTCAGGAGCAATTTTGATTGATACATGCATGCAACGCTTAGCACAAGTGTTGACGTGAATATAGAAAGGCGTCTTCAGACAGATATACAAGAGGTGAGCAAGTATTCATACTTGCAAATTGGCAGAAGAAATCAGACTCCAGTTTTGGTCCTTTGAAAATGCTCAGTTTTGGCACTACCCATAACTGAAAGCCTTAAATGCTTGGGCCACATCTCATTAATAATGTCTTTTAAAATCTGTGCAATGACATTATGCGTCTTCAGACTTGTCAGCAACGTTGTAGTTGAGTCCAACACAGGACCGCATGTAGTCATCCAGTCTAAAGATATGTTACAAGTTACTCCACTTTGACAAGGGGCACTCCTGGGTGAGTATTCATTCAGATTTGTGGCTGGACTTGTGAGCAAATCTAATAACATGTTAGGGGCATAAACCAGGATCATGCGGTATTAGCTTGGTATCCCCAGAGCAGGTGGATCTAGGGACAAGTATCCAGATAAAATTTTAAAAGGACATTCAATCATGCAACTAATTGGTGCATTTTAAATGCTCGCAGAAACAAATCCAAGACTAGAGGTAATCTCTGGATAGTTTTTAAGCATGTTTTTCAAATGATTGAAAAAGGGTGATTCTTTCCATGGAGGTCCTTTCAAACTCCTCAACCCCTCCCCTTTTGCACTCCATGTAACAAGTGATGGACTCGACAACAACTCCATTTGCCAGATGCACCACTAAGCCTCAATTTACCCATGGGAGGGGGGCTGCGTATCAGATCCTCCAAAGCCTTGTTCAGCCGCCTCAACACAAATATCTGTGTTCCGTCCCTGCGCAAGGACTCCAGGAAACAGGTGAAAGCCTTGGGCCCCCCGTTCCTCTGCAGTTCATCGATGAAACGGCTTGCTCTGGCCATAGGGCCAACGACGTGATTGATCTCCTCGCAGATCTCTCTATTCAGGATGCCCTTGGAGCGCAGGTAGGTGAAGTGGTGCTTGGGTTCAATTGTTCCATTTCGACAAAGGAAATCTCTGTTTTCCTCCAAAACCTACATGTACATCAAATAACAATGGTAATGAGCAACACTGTATGGGCATTCGGGAAAGTTTTTGTTGGATCTGAATGATATGTTTATGAAACCTGCATCACATTAAAATATACTCGTTTTTCTCACTGGGGATGCTGATTTCTTTTTTTAAACAAATGGTGTAAGGAGGCAGCCACTCCAATGTATATCCCCCTCCCCTTTGAATTTTTTTAATTTACATATAGCCTAGAACTACAGGAATCTTCGCATGTGGTGACAAGAAAGGTCATAATTACTCGGTCTCATTACTACTTCACATTGGTCCAGCTGCTGCCATCCTTACAGTTCTTTACATGCATGATAAGAAAAGAGGCAGTCTAATACAGAAATGTTGAACAATGCACGGACCAAATGGCAAGACATGAACCATGCGAGCACCTTTATTAAAATCAAGTTAAAACAACTGTATTCGTGATCCCAACGCTGCCACCAAAAATTTTTAACGGGCCAAGCAGGCCAGGGAGTGGGAACACGAATAGAATTTAACAACCAAGGAAAGCACACGGCAACAAGACGGACTTCGGGGGCACCTCTCAAATTTTAGTATTTATATGTAAATTACAAAAAGCAAAGATATTCGATGAAAAAATTAGCAAATGAATTATAATATTGGATAACACAAACAGATAATAAGACCAGTGCAGGTGTGAGGCTGGAGGAAAGGGAATGGCTACCGGAAAAATGATATTGCAACGTAAAAGTGGTTACAAAAATAAAAAACCGAAAGAATGACCAATGCCCCAATGCGCAAACCAATCTTACAATTACATACATGTACCAGCAGAGTGCTCTAAGCAAAATGGAATTCAACGAATTTAAGGAGTAAAAATGGTATGATTGCATGTGGCACTCAGTTCACCTTGTTACAGAACTTAGGACAGAGGCACATGAACAAGGTTCAATAGGAAGTTAAAAACTGAGCAGTTGTTGCAGCAGCTGTTACCTTATTGTGTAAAGAGTGGAGATATTCTTCATTCTGGAGAAGTTCCTTGTGATCTGGAAGTAGGCTCATCTTTTCCTAAGATTACCGGTTTCAATAATCAACTCGTTTCAGTCTGTTTCAAACGGAGTCTTTCTTTGACGAACATTCACAGTAACAGATTTTACCTTGGTCGCAGACTTTCAGTGAAAAATATGCGAATGATACGCGCTTGTGAGTTTTTCGGACACACCGGTTGGTTCAGTACATGTATATGAATATGTAGTACATCGTTCACGTTGCTTCTCTAAGTTTGTACAGCGGATTCCACCGGCATTATTATTATGGTAAAAGTAGGGGATTTCCCCAAAGAATGCTCCTTTTTGTCTATTCGTATCCGATGATTAAGAGGGAACAATCCACCACTACGAGCCTTCCCAGTCCACGATACCAAAATAGACGCAGGAATCACCCTAAACCCGGAAACGTTCCATATTATTAGCTTTCACACAGCCATCACCCTGCAACACCTGTTGCATGTATTTATTAAAACCAGACATGAAACAGTAACCAATATAATAGCCACCAATGCTCAAAGGTCATTGGATGAAAAGTTTTGGTATGGACAGCACAGTCTGGAAAAAACAAGCAAACCCCAAAAAGAAATCTTCGCCTGTTCCGCAATAAAGATCCTAATTGAATTAAGTACTGCTCCTTTCTGTACAATTACTGCCACTTTTAAGTAATGTACGCACTTTCATGGGCACTACTTGTTCTTTGTACTTTGTTGAATCAATCACTGTGGGTTATCTTTGAGTTTAAACTCCATCCAGATCAAGAAATCAAATCACAAACCTTTCATTTTCACACATTAAACGTGTATTTTTTAGACTAAAGTGATAAAATGATACACGCACAATGAACACGGTAACAACGGGTTGGCCACGCAAAGGGCCAGCCCCCATCAAACATGCGCTGCACAGACCAGGTGAATGAATATAGGGCTGGGCAAATGGGTTGTGGCGGTGAGGGTACTTCACAACCGCCTGGTCGAGCACTTTGCCACAGCTTATCAAATAGTGAACTACATGGTTACATTATTAGGACAAAAGGAAGTAGAAATACACTACATATGATATAAAAATCCTTTTATTGCAATATTACACAAAACGTGCAGGAATACGATACAAATATTGGCACACAAACAAGTATCCACTGGCACACAATTTACACCTTCCATGATGAAATTAAATGTCCTTAAATGAAATGTGAAATTGAAAAGTGGAGAGATTGTATGAGGGAAAATGTCCCCAAAAATACAAATTAGGAGTGAGGTACTAATACGCCCATGTAGGAATGAATGCATTTGGATTGAGTAGCATGCTTGTGTGCATACACTAAAGTATTAAAATGCCAGTGTTCAACCAACCTGCAAGAAAGTAACAAAAAAAACACACAAATGACATTCACTGCTACCAGTGAAGTACAATTTCTTCTACCAAAATGTTCTGCAGTGTTTGATATTACTTGTTCAACAAGGTATGTGGCTCATTTCCTGAATGTCCCAAAAGCTTCAGGGAAATAGCAGTGCTTAGAACATTAAGTATGTTTAGAAATGCTATAGAGTAGTCTTTTGAGTGATCAAAAATATGTCTATATCAGGTTTTTATGAAAATAAAAGAGCCATTCTGAAGTATCTTGAGAAATGATGCATCAAGCTCAATTGATAAAAATTATCAATTATAAAAGCATTTACATATGTACCTGTACAAGCAGAAATATTTATCATCTCTCCCACTTCACCCCTCCCAAAAAAGGACATAAATCACAGTACAATTTCAGCGTCAAAACATGAAGAAAAAGGAAAAGAAAATGATTTCAAAAGCATCACAGGGCCTCAAAAAGAGTGCCATGTTATTGCATACAAAATCCATTTCTCATGAGATATGGATTCTTCTTCAATAACTGTTAAGAATTTTCAGGAGGGTTTCTTTATTTTGGGCCGCCCATTGGTCAAAGGTCAAGAGGTCAGGGATTAGCTTCCTAGTGGTCTCTATGCTGAACCTCTGGGTCACCTTGTGTATGAAGTCAAACATATTGGTGATGTCCTCATTGCCAGGTTTGGAGCTGTTCTGCCTATGAAACTCGGGCAGTGTAACCTAAGATGGAGAAAGGAAAAAAAAGAAAGAAAAAAAAGTATGAAAAAATTAATTGTTACAACCCTTAACCTCAAAGAGCTGTTTTTTGGCCTTTTTTTGGGAGGGGGCACATTATCTCCCCCCAGCTCTTTGAGGGTTAATATTCTTGGCAATTAATGTTACCATGAGGCAAGCTTCCCAATATTTTTATTTTTTTCACTTTATTACACGTAACAATAAGTTTCATGTATTTCTTAAAAACATGGCGCCTGTTTGTTCACATGGATCTGGATTGCAACCAGTGATAGTAGACATTGGTTCACTGGCACCAGCACCCAACTAATGGATAAAGGGAACCAGCTTTGGGATCACTGGTCACAATCCATATCTGTGTGAAACAAACAGGCCACAAATGTTAGTTTCCAAAAATAATTTCTCATACTTTCTTAAAGAGCTGTAACTTCCCTCACAAAAAGACCACTCCACTGCTTAAACCAAAGATCAAAAGATCAAACCAAATGGGTACTGCTCTCTTAAAAGAGGACCCATCCCTCATTTAAGAAAACAACCTTAGATATGCTCACCTTTGCATCCCTGACCACATGGGGTCTCAGGTGAGTGGTTAAGATAGACGCAATCTCTCTGACCGTCAGTTTGTCTCCCACCAGGGAAAATGTCTTCCCCACTGTGCTGGTCTTATTGTAGAAGATGTAGCGCACTGCCTCCCCAATCTGCTTGATGCTCAGCATGTTCAAAGAGAGATCTCCCATCGGAATACCTGTAGAGGCACCGGAAAAATAAACGAAATAAACACGAATACTACTTTGGCAACTTCAGCATAACCTAAAAGTAAATCAGGAAGTGTGATGTGTTTCATCCATGCCACTGCCACGCAGAGGAAAACCACCTTTTTCCACGGGGGAATTTCTTCAGAGGGGGGAAGCACTCATCAGCTACGAATTATGCAAACTGATTAACAATAAACAGTGGAAGGGAGGTCAATTTTGAAGTTTTTGTTTTTCAAGTGGATTTGTGGCTTTCATCTTTTTTCATCTCTTATTTTTCATTTCTTTCACTTTTTTCCTTTTTTCTCTTTTACGTTTCAAAATTCCACCTAGAGTGTTGATATCCCTGCCCCTTCCTCCCTCCCCTGGTGTTCACGGGACCTATAGTTTTTGTAGCCAGGCTGTCAAGGAGTCCATCACAAGTGCTGCCACAACTTCCTCCACAAGTCTAGCGATGACAAAGACAAGGGCATGGTCCCATCACTGTTTGTCAATGGGAGACTTTGAGATGCTTGGTGGCGACAAACATACTCCTTTTTATCAGTTCTGAGCGTGCGGGCGTTATGGCAACACCTTGAAAAGGACCGGTATGTCTGCGGCCATCAGCCTCTCAAAGTCTCCCATCGAATAGCATGTGATGTAATTGAGTGGATGACCCGTGACAAACTTGTGACAGATTGCTGGGACCGTTGGAAGCTTGCGATGGACTTGACTACATGCAGCCCTATCATAATGACAAGAGGTTGATCATGAGAATTTCAAAAGTTGGGAGTGGGTAGGGCCTACGTACAGTCACAGTACACGTATGTACATGTATTGTTTCTGAAATCCTGCAGAAAATCTGCTCAAATATCCTGAAAGTCACCTCGCACAGGGAGGCTCACCTATGGAATATTCCTGCTGCTGGAGCTTCTGCGGCTTAAAGTCACCAAGGAAGTTTTCATAGGCAAACGGAAGGATAATACTAGTCAACGGAAGCTCCCTCTCATTCATGTAGTCGTTGATGCACGCCTTAGCATCGTAGTGTCTGGCTTTGACTCCAATAACTTTACTGACATGGTTTTGAGCATTGAAAACAATATGCGGCACCTTCATTGCCATGCAGACATCAGCTACGCATTCTCCCTACAATGAAGAAAAATGTTTGGAATTCAGTGATACATGGATTGTGGAGGGTGATAAACATTCATTTATGAAAACGAAAACAATGTTTTAAAAATTGCAGGAAGAGCACCTTCCTATAAATATCGATATAAATATACAAAAGACATTTTTTGAAAAATAATTTGGTGCCACCTATTCTTGAGTCAGCAGCTTTTGATTGACAGATCTTCAGAACTATCTGTACAAATATCTTGCGGACAAAAACATATTTACAAAAACATCATCCTCGAGGCATACTGTCACCATTATTAGTTCCGATCCCCCCTCCTATTTTCTTGAAGCGGAATTTGTGTCAGAGTAAGAATACTTGGATAATAACGCCATCATTAAATTTGCCAGGTTAAAATCTGGTGATCATGTACATCTTTTCAGCCTGATAGACAGAGTCAGGCTTTCAAACATGTTATCATTATTTGCCTCTTCACAGCTAGCTATGAGGCAACTGGTACAGGATTTCTTTGGCTCTGAATTCTTTGCTCCTCTTATCTTTGCTACATCTTTAATCAACACTTCAGTGGGTCCAACGGTGTAAGACGCAATCAGTGACAGTGACACAGCCTCTCTCCTCAATGCTACTTCCTGTTTAATAAAAATCTTATCGGTATGGAGTCCCTTATGTGCTGTTTTAGAGGAAAAATTTATCTGGGAGCCAAAACCCTCTGGCTTTTTTAAAGGAGCCCTTTTGCCTATTTGTAGCTTTAGATATATCTAATTACCTAGACTATTATCCGCCCCGAGCTGAAAATTGGCGAAAAGAAAGACAGGCGGTTACAAGTGGGTTCTTGCAAGTGTTCTGTGTGTATGCAAAGACCATACATGCCGGAGTAAATCAGTTATGCATACTCAGCGTGGTCCTCGTCAAACGCGCATATACTTGCGCGCCCCATGACGTGCCTATGCAGTGATGAGTGCCAAAAAAACACACCCTCTTTTGTTCCACTCGGAGCAAATAAGGAAAGCAAATAATCATTAAGTCCTGTAGAAGTACATAGCCTAACCTGCTGATATTCAAGCTGCTGGCACAATGGGTCTGACAGCTGCATGCTAGTTGCTACAAAGCAGCCATCAGCTCCCTTAAGGGCTGGCACCAGACTCTCGCGGTTGTTCATGTCAGCCTTGATAACCACTGCCCCCTTGTCCGCCAGGGCTGTTGCCTCGGGTTTGTTGGGGTCACGCGTGACAGCACGGACTTGGAAGTTGGAGGAATCTGTGAGTAAGGCTCTGGCCACAGAGTTGCCAAGTGTGCCAGTGGCACCAAAGACTGCAATGACCATGACCATCTTCCAATCTTGAAAAACTACATAAAATGTATTAAAACCAAACAAAATAAAGATGGAAAAAAATGACCAAATTCGTCTTATTGGGGATTACCAACACTGGATGCAGAGGATAGGTATGAGGTGACTTGGTTAAACTGACTTGGGTACAAGTTGATTCAGGTGCACATGTAAGTTGACTAGGGACGAGTTGGCCCATTTCCAGTCAAGCTGACAGACAGACAAACAAGTTGTATGGCATCAACCACTTTGAAAATGTTGAAATTTCGCTAGTGCTCAAGTTACTTGGTGCCCCTGTTGGGTATGGACATGATTGGTGTTCTGCCCAATCACTCAATCTTTCAACAATCTGCTGATCTTAATGTTGCATGATTTGCCTATATATAACTCAGCCAATCACTTTTCTTTGTGGAATACTGTTTGGAGGGAAAGAGTTCTATATATGTATATATTGACAACACTGATTTTAACTTTAAACGTTTTAACAGAAAGTGATAATATGTCCTAAAATGTGAAATTTAGCTAAAGAAAATTTTCAAGATGTATTTTTTTTTTTTTTTTTTTTGCGTTGGGAGATGTTAATTTTATATAAGAGGTTTTGCCCTTACCCAACGTATATTAATAAGCATTGTATGCTCAGTGCTTGTCCGAGAGCTTGCGAATCTTTTTGGCAAATGCCAACTTAAATTCGAGCACTGAGGACTGCACAACATATCTCCACCCTGTCCATATCCTTCACATTCCTGTTAATATTTCATTGCTTGGATACAAAATATTTAATAACTTTTATTGCGAAAGCTATTTGTTGTCTAACAGTTTCCAGATATCTCAGAAATTACCTTAAACGCGTGTTAAAGTCAACCCTAACCCACCAGGTGTCCGTTGCTAAAGACGCTCAATCAATTAACGAGTTAAGATTTTACAAACAAACGAATATCCTTGAGAATGCAGAACATGTACTTCGTACCGAATTAATTTGGCATTTGTGACTCTGTATTGCAAAGAAGTAGTTTTGCGGTATTGTACAATTTACAAATAAACGAAAACAAACAAATTAAACAGGAATTCCAAGGCGAAAGCATAACAGTGCAACCGGTATAATGACTCAGGCAAGTACGAGTCATAAAATGAATATCACGGCAGTGGCTCTCTCGTGTATGGAACGCCTAATTTTCAAAACTATGCAAAACGTATGCTCAAAGCCATTTGTACTGTGATCCAGTAATTTCTTCCTGGAGGCAGCATACAATTCCAAGTCATACACGCACCGTGGTAAGTTTTTAAAAATGAGCAAAACCAATAAATATGGATGTCCTAAAGATCACTTGGTAATTATAGTACAGAAGGAATTAGTTCCGGGACCCTGTTTTTGAACTTAATTTTTAATTAAACAAAAAAATAATAAAGATTTCCACATAGCACTTTTTAACAATTAAAGACCCAAGGCATATCAATTCCCTTTTCAAGTATTTTGTTAAGCATTTTTTTTCACGGGGAAAATGTGATACTTTTGATCATTTATAGCTCAAACATATTACAAAAACAGGAATAAGCCACTGAGGACGTTGAAAATAAAAGAATTTCCAGAATTTTGAAATATTGAAACAAAAACACCAAACAGATTGAAAAGTATAAAGCAGAAAACAAAAGAGAAGGAAAGGCTTTGGAAACGTGAGAAGAGCCCCGCAAACTAAAGGAGAGAGAGACAAGATAAATAAGGGAAGGCACAAGAGACTTCACTTAAGCTGAAACTGGAAGAAGCTTTGCGACCCAATCCGTAGATGAAGAGTTTAAACACAAACACAAAACTATTAAAGTAATACCAGACAATATAAAAACCACTGTTAAGAACTTTAAAGGCACTAGAAACAAACACAATTTGCAGAAACTATTGTCAATATAACACAATTCAGTTTAAGAAACAACTCTTAATTTTAATGGATAATAAAACAATACATTCAAGGCTCTTTTGATGGATACCCTGCTGAAACTATTATCCATAAGTGGAAGTGACATGTAAAAGCACCCTTTTATAATTATTTAAACTGTATACAATTTTGCTTATGGACAGCTTCGCAAGGATGTGCTTTGTTTTCTGGATTTTTGCACAAAACTGTTGACACAAATCAAGCTGATGCATGTACTATCACATCCGGGAGCTAAGGTATCTAGTGTTATGAAAAAAAGTACTGTACAAATAAAATTAAATAGAATAAAATCATTACAAATTTCATCTCAACATCTATTAATACAGTCAACTCGTGTTATAAATACAGGGACTAGAAACATTACTTGTTAAAACCAGGACTTGGTTATAAAAAGAGTGAAAAAGAATGAAAACACAAGAAATCAAGAAATTTGGATCTTCAGAATTTACTCTTTGTAACACTTCTTTGTTATAACAGAGTTCTCTCCGTCAGGAGATGACTGCACTGCACATCACGATCTGATAAAGCTAGGCACTGGTTCTCCAAGCTTGAAATAAAGTTGGAAGGCTAAGCAAAAAAAAACCTATTTGGGGCAACTCCCCCTTTTGAGCACTTCTAATTGGATTCGATAAGTAACAACTATGTGAATTGGTTAAGAAAAGCCTCTGACTTTCTGGAATGACTTCACCACGTCTTTTAAATTTGATTTCCAAGTGTTCACTGTTTAGTGAGAGAAATCAGAATATTGCAATGGACCGAGGAAGCTTCAGCATCCTCCATGTCCAAAATACTTTCCTGCTGATGCAAATTTACACTTTGTGTCCTTCAATAGTTAGCCCTTTAAGGTACATGTATTTCCGAAAGTAATTAGTTTCCAAGAAATGAAATAAGCCAAAGTCAACAATGCTCAGATTTACTAAAGCTGACTACAAATACAAAACAGTCCAGAGTGGCGAGGAGGTTGATTTAATAAACACACTGTACAGCTTATCATCTCAATCTACAATGCAGCAGATGTACATTATGTACAGTATTACATATATCACTGTATAAAAGTCTTAAAGAAAATTCAAACATTGAGCAATCAGCGTAAAATGGGCCACACAATGCCTCTGTATATTAGCAGCTTCAAACAATGTCCATCTAAAATTAAGTTCTTCAGTCAAAATGAACTTGAAAAAGAGTATTGCTGTAAATAAAAGTGACACTTGTTTTTTCACGAGTTGGGGGCAACATTTACATTTACACCACAGAAGGTTTTAAAAATAATGAAATTCCCCCTCCCCCATCTTACTTCAGCAAATATGTTTATGTTGATATCAATCAGGGTGAAAGGCTGGAAGTTTGACTGTCTGTAACTGTTCAAAAAGTGGAAAGGGATTCAACAAAAGTTTACGGCATCCACGTGTGACAGGCTCTGACCGAAAAGGGACAGGGACAAGCCAATAATCAGGCTTTAAGGCACCCAGATGCCTTGGAAAGAGAACTAACTTTATGTACAATTGAGGTTATTAACTAAGAGAATTGGATGTTTTTGCTGTCACTCTGACTGGGCCTAGCCGCTGTCGATCCTTGATGGCTAACTCATTGAGGATGGCAGAGGCAGCGGCACTTGTTCCCCCGCCGAGGAGCTGATCTGAGTAGAAGAGCGTCTGGAACAAGAAGCAAACGGCCAGGGAAATTAAATTTAGGCTGGGCAGGTGTGCATGTTGTTGAGTAGTTATTTTACATTTGTAACCAAGACAGGGATGGGTTATTCGGCTCCTTCAGAATCATGGTTGTTTCGTACAAATCTGCAGTTTCGTTGTCCAGCATAAGCCCTTACACATTCATCATAACTCAGTCACTAGTCAACATACAGTTCCAAACTACTCAAATGAACGCGACAAGGGCAGGCCTAGTCCACTGTTCATCGCTTGTAACTTACAACTAGTGATTCCCTTGTGCTGGACTTGATGGGCTACACTGTAACAGTGCTGTCAAGTGAGGCAATTTACGATATGCTACCCAGTTAGCAATAACGCCAGTTGAACAAAAAGTCACAGAACTTATACCCAGCCATAAATGAGACCGAGGGGTACCCCCCCAACATGTCCAATCCCTATACAAATTCCAGACTATTGTTACTTAACACAACCCCCAAGATGTCTGAAAGGAATTCCCCAGATTCCTGCGAGTCAATGACCAACACAAAGCAGGGGGGGGTTGTCTCCGTCTCATACCTTGCTGCATATGACAGAACTGGGAACACATTCCGAGTAAAGACTTACTTGTGGACCACTGGACGACTGTATTCCCACGGATCGTGTCTTGATTCCCTGTAGTCTGTTCAGCCGGCTGGTGGCTGACAACTGCCTGATCTTGTCAGATGGAAACGAGGTCACTTTGGGTCTGGGTACCAGACCAAGGTCACCCAGCTTGTAGTGAGGAAGGGAACCTTGGCCCTTGACGATGGGAGAGAGGATGGAATACCTATTGGAAAAAAGACACATAGCCTTTATCGTATCATTATTTCTCTTTGAACAAAAAATCCTGATGTTAAATCTCCGAGTTTAATCTGCCAGTGTTGCCGCATAAATCCTGCACTGGAAAAGGAATGTATGGACCGTGGCTTGTGAACATGCATCAAACAAATTTGGTTCCATGCTTAAGAGTCACCTCACCAGCCTGGAAATTTATCATTATTCTGTTATCACATTACAAGCGGCCTATCAATAGTAACCTTTCTATGACTTTTCCATGACGTTTTTCCTCAGACAACACGTTTCCATGATGTCCCATTTTTTCCCAATTTCCATGACTTTCCATTTTTTTTTTCAAAATTTTTCCAATTTTAAATTTTCCAAAAGGATTGTACAGTCAGGGATTTAAATTCTTCACTTCTGGCCAGGCTAAGCCAACCCCAGGGCCCAAATCCTCCCAAAACTATTTCTTTTGTACAACTCCAAGTTGAGTGAACAGAAGGTAAATGTATGTACTGGTCCAGTATAAATTGGCTAGACCCTCCCATGCCAAGGCCTTTGTTAGCTACACCACCCTGAGTCAGCTGACCGCCTACATTCACAAGAGGCCAAGCTACTGCAGTCAAGCTACCAGTACATGGTCAGTCTACATGGGTGCGGCTAATCATCTCTGCACCCTGGTCTCCAACAAGATACCTTCAAGGGTTTGACCTACACCATGAACTTATAGGCACGGAGCAACACCTTATCCGTGCCCACAAGACCCTCCCTTGCTGGTCAAGACTAAGCCCTACCTGTCTGCCAAGCCAACTGGCCACGCCCCATCAGTGGATTTGCCCAAGCGACGTGACATACGCCCGAGGCCATACTACATGTGCAGCACCCAGGACCGTCAGCTAACAGAGCGACCTGGCATTCTGTCTTCTTGTGTTCTATGGGCCTTCCGATTACGTAAGAGTTGGCCGATTCCTTAATTCATGATTGTATACGTTGTAATGTATTTAATCGATTTGGTTTTGTTCTCACTCTGATTATAAGTTTTGGAATGTAATTACATGACCTACAGTTTACATTCTCTGTATCTCAACCATGGTCTCCCCCATCTTATTAATTGCTGGATACTCCCTGTCTGTCCCATCTTTTTGGCCTTTGCTGCTGTATGTGACAAACTGGGCTTATCGTTTGGTGTTTCCATAAGTAACAATATGCTTTCCAAACCTCTCCCCTCCACAAAAAAGTTATGAAAACCTAAAAATCCTCACCTAGATTTGAACCCTTTCCCAGAGCCGGGAATTGTGGATTGCCTGCTCTTCGTGCGATACGTAATGTCATCATCCTTCAGGAAGCTTGCTGGTGAAGGGCCAACACCGATTGCCGCGGCACTGTTCAGAATGACCAGGAGATTCTCCAACATGCTGTCCCGTTTTTCAATTCCTTCTTCGTCAACCGTCTCATCGGCATCTCCATCATCGGGCCTTGACTACAGAAATAGAAATTGACATCATACATGTTTGCTTATTTTGAAAAAAAGCAATAGGAAGTGCTCACTTAGTGACAGTGCATGTCGGCTTTCATGACACATTTTAGAATGCACATAAGCGAATAGCCATACATTTAACAGTTTGAGTTTTCCATAGGTTTGTGCACGAACATGGATGCAACCAGCAGGCTCCACCTTGTACTGGGAGTTAGCGCTCTGGTAATTTTTATAGCTCTGTAAGTGACGTGAAAATGGTCTTTAGCTGATCACAGACTTTTGGAAGTTAAATGCGAATAAAACCTGGCACACTGAGCTATCAGATTCCACATAAACATAACAATTTGAATTCTCCATACTAAAGACACTGTTGCTATGCCTCGTGATTCGGGACAAGCTTTTGCATAGTGACCACCATCTCTGGAATGGACTGATTCCTTTGTGCCCTTCTTATCCATTGAGAGCAGTGTGTTGGTACAAGGCGTCTCTTATGTAACTAAGCAAAAGCTTGCCCCAAATCAGAGTCTTTTAGTATGTAGAATTCAAATTGTTATGTTCACATGAATTTGAAGAGCTTAGTGTACCAGATTTGTTCAAATTTAGTTCACAATAGGCTTATTCCTGTACCGTCCAAACGTAGCTTTTAAATTGCTCAAGCCAAGTTTCATACTAAAAATTGAATCATGTAATACTGTACACATATATATTGAACATTACATATTCACCATTATACCTTCTATTATATAATCTATATGTGTAAGTGCCATTTTAGTAAAGTTGTAAGAATATCCTCTAACAAGACTTACTGTGAGTATCCTATGCATGGAGTAGGCAGCCTCAGCTAGTATCCTCTCCAGCCGCTCTTTGTTCTTCAGGATCTCCTTCTTCTCTTTCTCCATCAGCTCAATGCGGTCTTCCAGCAACTCCATCTCTTTGCCCATGGCCTGCAGTTCCTCCCGTGAGGACTCAGTCTGCTGGCGCAGGAGGTTAGCCTCAGACTCCACCTCCAGCAGCTCCTTCTCCCGCTCCTCCAGGTCAATTATCAGGCCCTCCTGTTGCTTAGCCTTCTCAGTCAGCATCCGGATAACCTGCACGACAGATTCACAGATAAGACGGTGAGAAAGCTGTATTACCTGAAGAAGACTCCCCCCCAAGAAATAACGATGATCAAAGTTATGATTTCCAAATCTGCGCTGTTGAGATGATGACGATAGATCACTAGTTCTGCCTGGTGCAATAACAGTCTTTCAAGTATAATTCTGTAAAGGTTTACCAGTTACAGTAATCTAACAAGTCCTCTTTTATAACTTGTTTTATATGACAAGTCCAATTTTGTGGCTCTGCTATTCATGGAATGTTGAGCTGATAAGTGGTATTTTATATTTGCAATATGGGGGGCCAGCCTTGTACATCCAGCTCCTACAGATGTGCAAAAGTCAAAATTACCTGATACCTCGTAAAATACTCTTATCACAAGAATTTCTGCTATACATGATTTTATGGTATGCAAAGCCATAACAGTGAGCCCTTGGCTAAGAAGCAGCGATACAAAATTGTATACAAGCCTTTGTCAGAGAAATTTCAGTAACAGTTAACAGAGATTTTCTGTTTCAGAGCTACAGAGTGGACAGTGCAAGATTGTACACAAGATTTTGTCAAAGACACTTCTCTTGCAATATATCCTTATTTACGGTATGCTTAGAAAGTGGGAAATGCGCTACAGAGCAAGCAGTGCAAAACTGCATCCAAGTCTTTGCCACAGAAATTTCTACTAAGGTTTGCAGAGATTATTTGTTTCTGTAAATCAAAGTCGTGAAAGTGAGCCCAGGGGCCACAAAGCAGCCAGAGCAAAATTGAACCCATGTCTCTGTCAAAGAAATTTCTCCTACACTGAGCACAGACATTTTGGCAAAAGCAAAAGCATGAATGAACCATAGAGAACACCGTGTGCAAATTGTATCCAAGTCCTTGTCTCCAATAAGGGTAGGAATTTATGTTTAATCTGAATAACATTTAAAGAACTTGCCCATACCGTTTACACACTCAGCCAACACTTCACAGAGGCCACAGTAACAAACCTTGGTGAATCATATATGCTTAATTTATATGGTTCATACAATGTAAATATTCAACACAAAGTTGCAGTGATGAATTCATGGTACTGGTATTTCTTTAATATGACTGAGCAGTAAAGTGTTCCAAAAATCAGATTACATTTTACAGGCATCGTTTACGATAAAAATGAATGCCAGATTGTGTCAATCAAAGCGTCAAACCTCTGAAAGGGGCGGTTCCGTTTAAACGTTTGGGAAAATCTGTGAACAGATTTGGAACTTTTTTCGTTTAAATGTTCAAACGTGTAAATGTCCAGGCCTCAGTCTCCAACCTTTTGGTTGCTGTGATTCTTTTTGGCCAGCTCCTTCTCGTTGGTCTCCAGCATGTCCAGCTGCTGCCGTTGCTTCTTCTCCCGGGCCTGGATGTCTTCGTTCTCCTGGATCAGTTCCATGGTCTTGTCCGACATCTTGGCCAGCTGGGCATGGATGCTGACGTTCTCCCGGATGGTGCGCTTGGTGGTGTCTGCCATCTGCTTGTTGGAGACCTTGCGGAACTCAGCTGCCACCTGATTGACGCGCAGCACCATCTCTCGTTTTAGCCTGCCGGGAGTGTCAGGTTGAAATGTGGGTTAAAAGTCTCCCACTGGGTAACTGACCTATCCCTGCTTATTGTTAAGTCACCCCCCCCAGATAACTTGGCAACACGCACCCTATGTGTTAGTACTTGAGTGCGATGCACAATATGAGCCACTGGTAGCGTACCACAGAGCATCAAACACACGCACTCTCAAAGCATTTGCTGTACACACGTACACAACCAAAGTTGTCTCAGATTTTCAACACAATTTGTTTTACCATGTGAGGTCACGATGCACACACTTCGCCTGTATGCACAAGCCTTTACGGCTAAATCATGCATAGCAAGCAGTTGCTTTCAAATTTGACATGAGATAGTGTGCTGCCTATCAACCAACAGGCCAGACGGAAATAAATGTCGATGCATCACAAGTGCTTGGAGTCTCCTTGCTGAAATATGGTAACACGCGACATGCATGATATGAACAGAATTAATACATGGTGTGATGGGAAACTGCTTGTGTGAACAGCAATTCAGTCAATCTTTTCTAATTCAAACTCTCTGTATCCTCCTCACTAATAGGTTTCTAGGTCTGAACAGCTGTACACATGAAATCTGATTTTCTGTGCTACACCCGTCTGCTTGTTACCTAGCCTCTTTGCTAATGAGAGTTTTAAGGTTTCAGCTTTGTCTTCAGCAGTACGGGATCCAGCTTCAATAATGATCCTTGATATTTCTTGATAAATGGCTGAACCAGGAGAAACTGTTCCATATTCGATGTTCCATGCCCTGGAAGACTGCCACAGCAAGTTCATGTACTACAGACTAATTTCACTTTGCTCCTTAGCTCACAATATTATGCTTACAGAGGCTCCAAGTATTTCACGGAGACTGTAAGCAGTAAGCACAAATAAAGGCATGCTTACATCAGAGAAAAATATTGCTTAAACTTCGTGATGTAACAATAGAAATCCTTATGCTCTTAACCGTTAACGCAGCCATGCCAAACACCACCATGAAATAGTGGTTATTGTCAGCAAATTTTTCGGCTAAAGTTAGCACGACTTTTCTGCTGTTAAGCAACTCCATGAAATTGGGCCATGTATATTTATCATTATTCTGATATCAAATCAGAAACGGCTCATCAAAAAACAACCCTTGCATTACTGACTTTTCCAATTTTTTTTCCAATAACAGGATTCCAAGAAACCCTATAATTAAAAAAAAAAAATTTCCATGACGTTCCATGTCCAATTTTTTTTCAAGGAGTTTTCAAGATGTTGCATGAACGTGGGCGACCCGCCAAACCTGTGGCATTGAATACCTTCTCCCGCTTACCTGTCTTTGTCCACCACCTGTTTCCTCTCTAACTGGTAGATCTGTTCCTTATGCTCCTGCTGTTGGTTCTCTAACTCCTGCTCCATTTGGGCAAACTTAGCCATCAGGTCTTCCTTCTGCACTTTGAACTCTTCCAGTGACGCCAGCTTACCGCCTGCAAACGAAACCACAAACCAATGGGTAAATGGTACCCACTCCTGCAGTACTTCCGTTGCATGTTTTCAAGACAGTGATCACTGGACGTTAGCCTTAAATGTTACAAAGCACGAGTACACTAGGTAAGGCTGCATCCGAATCTCTTGTCTAGAGCTAGGTCTAGGTCTTCACTCCATTAGAAATGCGTGGAGACGTGTAGACAATAGACCCAGCCGTAGCTCTGGAGCCCGTTTCGGACAAGGCCTAAGTATCAACCAATAGCGGTAAAAGGAATAAAACTGGTGCACTGATATACCTCTTTAAAGCAGGCCTCTGTCAGTTTGTTTCAACACCAGTTTATCTCCAAAATGAGATTGTCAAAAGCCAAAGGACGGAATTTGGACCTTGTGTTCACCAAAGATTATATAGCGCCACCTAGTGGCGCAAGATGGAAAACTTCACTGTGAATATGCGTAAAAAGTTGTAATTGCCTGGGCGCCATTTGAGCAAGCAATGCACCTGCACAGTGCACATTAATGCACAAGTGCAGGTGCGCAGGAACGCAGGCATATCGCTTGCTCGAATGGTGCCCATGGTGATTACACCTTTACGGCAGAGTTCGCCATCCTGCCCCGATACGCGGCACGATGAGATCTTTGGTGTCCATAATCATTTCCAAAGTTATTTCAGTTGAATGAAGTTCAACCTACTCAGGATCATGTTTTCTGATGTCAGCTGATCCTTCGTCTCCTGAAATTCCGTCCTGAGTTGGGCCAGCTGCTGCTCGTAGGCATCTTTCTCGGCGTCCTTGGCCTGTTGGAGCCCGACCAGCCGGTCGTTCAGGTCGGCGATGTCATTCTGCCGCTGCTCCAGCTGCTTCTTGAGGAAGGAAACAATTTCTTTTTTGTCGGTGCTCATCTGGTCATACTGAGCCCGGAATTCTCCGTTGGCAACCTCTAGCTCATCGCATTTGCGCTGGTATCTATGACGAAAAGAATTATTTCAGTACAATTATTTGATCATATATCAAAAAGGCTCTTTGTGCAGGTGTTTGATTTCCTTTCCTTCTCTCAAAAATAAAAAAACGTGACCCAGCACATTGAAATCAGGAATAAGTCTCAAATTTATTGTTTGAGATATGCACACGGTCAGAAAGAGCTTTTTATAAGCTTTCAAGTGACTTGTAATGTTCATCAGATCATAACTCGAGAACCAAAGCAACACGCTTGTACCATGTACAACGTACCATTTGAAAGCTTATGAAATTCTCTTTCTGACCATGTTTTTCTCAAAAAGTCAATTTGAAACTTATTCCTGATTTCGATGTGCTGGGTCACATATCGGCAAGTTCAACAAGAAAGTCACGAAAATTCCTCATCAATTACTTTTGCTTAGAGCCCTGCAGCACCCTTTAAAACTCAACAAACTGAGACATCAAGCCCTATGTAAAGTGGAAGTGGTTGGCCGTAACTAATTTCACACCATCATACACCTGAAAGCTTTCCCACAAGGAAAATAATTGCACATCTGCCGATAAATGCCACGGCATGTTTTTCTACCGGTAGTTATGGTTTGTGACAAGTCACACACCTGGGAAATGCTGCTGTACACACAAACCCCAGACATTCGGCAAGTACAAGTGGGTCATTCCATGAGGTTGGGGCACAATTTGTGACGGTGTCCATTGTCATGATTGTTACATGGGCTCAATAAAAATGCAGCTATTTCCCTGCATGTGGATGCCAAACTGACATCGTTATCCATGTACATCTTGCAAGGCTGAACACAGGTGTGTGTTACTGGTATTTTTACAGAGTAAATGGCCTACTCTGAAGGTCATGACAGACGGAAAAAGTTACCCATGTAACAGTTGACCACCGTCACAAACTGTGCCCCAACCTCATGGAATGACCCACATGTACTTGCTGAATGTCTGGGTTTTGTGTGGAAGGGGGGCAGACATTCAACAGTAGAAGACGGAGAATCAACAGAGGCGGTGGGGTCAATGGTGACACCTTTGTTGGAAGCTGATGATTGCCTTTCTCAATTCCTCTTTTAATTTTCCTTTGATTTAAATTTTTTTTTGTAGAGGGGCTTTTGATTTTTCTTTTTTTTTGTGGGGTGGGGGGCAAAGATTTCTCTTTGTCCCTTGCTCATAATGCCCACGCTGTTGTAAATCCTGAATCCACTGCTGCATACTACTCACGGGATGGATTAAAAAAAAGGGCTTTAGGAAAAGTCAGTGTATAAAATGTAGGGAAGTTAACCCAGACACACCCACTGGGTGACGAACCAGGACATCATAAAAAAACAACAGGAAGAACCATCAACCTTGACAGCCCTCAACCTTTTACATGTATCCATTTGAGGAATGTTATCATAGTTAAAAGACCTCCAATGCAATAGTACACATGTGACCTACACTCATATGAATGTGGAGTACTGAACACGGCATCTATATACAAACAGAAGTACATGTACAAGGCACACATCCAAAATGACAAACCGTGATGCAATCTGCAAATACCCTTCACATGATGAGCTTTGTCATTTGGGTGTATATAAACTTCCACTTACATGTAATATGGACACACTCTTGGTTTCAGAGACATGTACCGGTATATTCTATTCATGATTCGATATTGTCTACAACATAAACCTAGGTTGTGTAATCACAAATAAAACAGTTTTTAAAACAGGGCAATGTCCGGATCAATTTGACGTTGACATGCACCAGCAAGACAAAGCTCACCAAGTGAAGGGGTTTTGCAGATTGCATCACAATTTTCTTTTTTTTGGGGGGGGGAGCTCACCTCAGAAGTCTCTGCTCCAAGTCTCGTATCTGGATCAGGAAGAATTCTTTGCTGACCTCCGTCAGGTTGGCCCCGGAAGGGGCGGAGGATGCCCTCGCCGATTTCTTGCCACTCTTCTTGCCGCTTTTCTTGCCTTTCTTCTTCCCACCTTTCTTCTTGGGTGGCATGATGCTGATTGAGTCCAGTAAGTGACCACTTTTACACCCTTATTTCTACTAAGTCCAGAAGGCACTCCTTTTAACGGAATTGTCCACGTATTTCAGCAAAAGAATTTGAATAGGAGTTTCACCACCATGTTGATCTTTTAGTGTTTTTAAACGACTGCCCTGTATGGAAAATCTTCAGTTTCACTTTGAACTGGCACCTGCAATGTAAAAAAAAAAGAAAAATCGGAGTTTCAAGAAATTAAAATATATCAGGGTTTCAAGAAATTACAAAGAACATGAAAAGACAAACAAGCTTTCTTGCCTGATGACAAACCACCCTCAATCTACAGCACTGTGAGGTCTAAACAGCTTTGACCCCAACTGGCATTTTTAAGCCATTTAATATTTGTACGAGCACTACTGTAGGGTTTAAGGACAAAAATCATCGTCTATCGTTATCATCAATATGTACATGTACGTAACATCATCGCTCAAGCCAGATTATGACACGTGTACTTTCCACTGAAACGGGCTTCAAGAGCTACGGCTGGGTCTTTTGTCCGCGTGTCTCCACGTACATGTACTTCCAATGCAGTGAAGACCTAGACCTAGCTCTAGACAACAGATTCGGATGCAGCCTCACACACAACCATGCCTCAATTATCAGGATACGAGAAAGCTGCCATGTGACACGATTATTTGGATATTTCTGTACAGCAACACTTGGCCGAAAAGCAGATTGAAGAAAAGGTGCATTATTTCAAGTAACAGGACGAATTTACACGGGCACAGGTCAACTGGTTTGCATGCCAACTCTTAAACCAACACTTGTGGGTGGATTGGTCATCTCCTACGCCGGCCAACTCATGCGCCAACCAACTCGTGCCTCGACCAACTCGGGCGCCACAATGTGAAATGCTGTCGGTTTTAAACTGAATTTTGTAGTCGAATGACTGGAAAACATTAAACTGGTCTTTCAAGAACTACAAATAAAAAAAAGAAAATCCATTTTCAAAGAATATGTGTAGCATCATGATTTAACATTAAAATTCACAAACACGATGTTATGTAGTCAAAAACATAAATACAAGCCAAAGCCACTTACATCTATTTTACTATGGTGGCTTGTCATTGGTAAGTTAAAAGTTTAATCATTAATAACATACATGTAGATACTCACAACAGTACAGTATACCAAATTTTTTACCGGACTGGGTATGTACAGTGTCAAGTTGGGGAGAAAATCTTACAAAGGGTTGCACTGCACCAAATACACACCCATGGAAAACAGTGCAAAAACAGGCCAAAATTGCACCGCCTGTTGACTCTCGGGAAGAGGTTTTTCACTGGAAATTCAAGACTATGTCCAGAAGTTCACTTTTAATTTGAATTTTATCCAGATTAGCCACACAATTTTTTTAATTCGCCTTTTTCCAAAGATACCCCCAAAATAGCAGCAAAAGTATGCACTCAGGTCTGAATGTGGCCACCCGCCTCTATCGAAACTAGGCCCACCGGTTGGGTTTTTTTTGTAAAAGAAATACCCTGAATTTTAAACTACTAGTCCCAATTCATGATTTCTCTATGATCCCTGTGATTATGGCATGTCTTATTGTAAAACCGTGTGGGATCACAAAATATTAATGACTACAGTCATGACAACAGTGGTTAGCTTGCTTTCTGATTTCATGTTGACAGCAAGGTTCATGAAACATAATTGATTACCTGAGACAGTAAAGGTCTCAATACTGAGTCTTCTTCACAACGAAGATTTCACACAGAAATTTTTTCTCGTCCATTTGAAGTTCTCAAGGCACCGCCAGTATACTGCAGGCCCCCGTCATGCCTGTCGCTAGGAAGCAGCGTCGACTAGGTAAACACTCGAGTCTGGTTTCCGGCCGATCTACAAATGCATTCACGATGATGCGGAACCAGTCTATTCAAAACACGTCTAGTAGTGCTAGCGCTGGTAATGTAGAGGGCGCTGTCTAGCTCCCACGGACCGATAGTTGGTTCTAAAGATGCAGATGGTTCAACTTACGATCTCTGTTTTATATACTTGTATAGAGCCTGCAGACCCATGGGCGTTTTCGACACGAGAGGAAGTTCGGTGAGATTTGAAGCTTTGCTGTCACAGTGGTTTCGAACGCTGCTTCAAAACGGATGAAACCAGCGAGATAAAAGTCTAAACCAAATCCAGTCGTTTCGAAACCACCCATCAAAGATGACATAGTAAAGCTTACAAAACATCATGCTAGCTCTGTTAACGTCTTGGGCAAACTTAGCCTATCGTTTATGTGTAACTGCAAAGCGGCTGTGACACCTCCAGCACGCATTATGTTTGTTTCATGCAGTCTGGATCGTGATCAGTAAGCCGACGTTGGTACACTGACACCTGAACCCGGCAACTGGATAGCGCGAACCAGCTCTGGGATCACTCACCGATCGCGATCCACATCCGAGTGAAACAATGTCATCAGGCCCTATCCACCTCGAGCTGAAGTGCATCCCCAAGCGGCAAAAGAAAGAGAGATGGTTGCAAGTGTACGCAAAGACCATATATTAAGGAATAAAATCGTTACGCGTACCCAGTGCGCTCCGCGTCAAACGCGCCACGTGAACGCTCGCCTATGCGGTGTCGAGTACCAAAAACCCTCTGTTGTTCCGCTCGGAGCGGATACGGTTCGTAAGTGACTTCGTCACAAATTTAGGCGAACGCGCCACGATTTGCAGGCTCCCATTGGACGATCGCTGAAGTTGCGCTAACTTCTGGTTCTATGGTTCCATCAGTGCATATCGCATGTACATGTACCGCTATGTAGAGTTATGTAGATGTGCAGTGGGCGTGGTTTAAACTGAAGTGACGTCACACTTACAAACCGGATTACACTGCCATGTTTCGCGCACACGCTTACGAGATCACGTGGACCAGTCCGCGAGGTGGTTCCAAGTTGTTCGTGCGTTTATGTCTGTGTCTGGTTTGAGACAATTTTACGCGCCCCATGCGCAGCGGGGGGGGGTTGTGGGGGTTGCACACCCCCCATTGGTATTGACGTTTGTTTCTCCCTAACTTTATTTTCTATCTACAGTCCCCCTATCCTTCCTAATCTTACCTACTGTTGAACTACCTGGACGTGTATATTAGTACCAGTCAACTGTGCTTTCTCCTTACTTTCCACACTGCAGTCATTTGAAGACGCACCTTTCATATTCTCAGCAACTCACAGCAATTTAGTAACCCTTATGGCCGGTTCATACTCGCTGCGTATTCACTTAACCTCACTAATAAACTTCTTCAACAAGCATTTATTTCCATATTTTTTCAGCTTTCCTAGTTAATAGATTAAAAATGATTATGCAGCTCATACGGTGGGCTTGTGGCTTTGCAGCACCAGCGCGTGTTTTTTTTTTTAAACAGTCTCAAAGTTTTCTTAAAAAGTAGTTTTGACCACCGCAGAATTTCCTGTCTCCCTCTCGTCCTATTTTTGGAATGGAGTGGGGTACAAGCGTAAATGTGGCATTACTCGATATATATGTATATCTCAAAGGTCCAAACTAGGGACACTGGTTCCATCTAATCGGTGTTTTATACACATAAACATGTCCACACTGCGCAGCCTATTATGGCCATCCAATGCGTAACAAACTGATGTAACAAACATTCATTCTTAACTTTGTGACGCCATAGTGCTTTTTTTTTCAAGTTCGTCTTAGCAACACGCACTTGCGTGGCCGCATGCGCGTTCAGTTTACAGATTGTGTAGATGAAAGCAAAAAGCACGCACCAACCACCGGGAATACATACAAACACTAAAAATGAATTAATTTCACAAGATAATTTAGAAGCTTGCTGCTGCAATGGCCAATGTATTTACAAGACGCTACCGTCGGCCGCGCACTACGACGTTGTCGGACTTTTCGTGCACGAATGAGCAGACCAAGCCGAGGTTCATACCGAGGATTTTCTCACCAACACGGCGGCAGAATCCTCATTCGATAGGTCTTGTTTATCAGAGTCCTTACAACAAGGACAGCCAAGTAAGCATGGGTAGCTGACTTTGTAGTGTTTATTTGAATTATAATCATTACAGATTTTGTCAATGTGATGGGAGAATGAAGTCAGATTTCATTCAAGATTAAAGCTGCCACTTGTTTATTCGAAAAATTCCTATACCATTTCAGTCCGCCTGTACTTTGAGCTTTAACAATTGTAGCTGAGAAGAAAATGCTTCATGTTGAATACAATATTTAAGCTTCTCTTTAAACCGCGTGGCATTTTGAATTGAAAATTAGTGATGAAAGGAATACTGAAAAAAGTAAAACTACAATTTACTCATCGTTGGTCTGTCAGAGAGACCTCATTAAAATCCTATTGCGGTTTTTGAAGGGGACACAAATATTTGTTTCCATTATGACTGGAATATTTTCCTAATATTAATTATGATGTTTGTAAAGAGCACAATTGTTGATCCACCTCTTGTTTTATTACTGATAGACGTTTGGGATCTGGAGCCCAGATTTCAACCTCATCCGATCCCGTTTCCCAGAGATGTTGAATCATATGCGTAAGTATATGAAAAAGGCGTTTTAATGTGGACGGTGCGATGTGGAAGTGTGCGTTGTACAATACAGAGCACAACGAGGGTAACAAGCCAAGGAATGTGAACTCAGCTGCCCCAAAAGGAAAATGCTCTGGAGATCTGAGATTCATCCCTAAATTACCATGTGGGTTTATTTCCAAGATTAGACATATTCTTTTGAGAAACATGCGATTTCTCCACAATTATGAAAGATAGAAGGGCTTCAGCGGTGTACCATGTGTCCTTAGACTTCTTTTTCGCTATTTTGACTCATTGTGTTTACATGCATGTAGACACTGACTGCGGACGATTGAGAGAGGATTGGATTCTGAAAGATACCAAAATGGCGTTTGTCTCGGGGGGGGGGGCAATCGAGAGCAGATAAATAAGTGAATCCACGCGGCATATGTGAGGGTCTTCAGTTTTGTAGATAGAAAGACGGTTTGCGGCCCTGTTCTGTCTGGGGAAGGCGGTTTCCTCTTAGTTTATTTATGCCCTTTCCTCGACAAAGTGGCCTTGATATAGACCTACACTGATTGGTAGCAGAAAAATACTTAAAAATTGAACAAATTGAAGTTACAACAGTGATCAAGCAGTCAAAGATATTACGTGCTATGTATAAACCCTCGCCCAGTTAAAGCGCTTTTTTAACTTGCGTGATCGAAGCATTTAGTACAAGTCTTCGTTTACCCCCTTTTCTAGAAACGACAAACTGGACTTGTAGCCATGACAAACGGGAAGTGTTGTTGTCGAGAGCACCAAGTGGTTTGTAACGCTTTGTTTTTTTAATGAGTATAATGCGAAATGCAAACTATTTGAATCACTTGGCTCATAAGTTTCATGGCGCCGTCGGTGTTCTCGAAGTGACAAAACCTCAAACTCATACTAAACGGACGATCCGGATTGAGCAATTTATAGGCTTACAAAGTTATGAAATGTAAGACTTGGGAAAATGCTAATCCAAACTTAGTTGTAGATTTATTCATAAAAACTAATAACAGAGGTCTTTATTTTTCCTATTGATTTATACGCACTTTTGTCACTTAAATTACGCGCTCGAAGAAAACTGTTACCGGTACATTACGTTATCATTTTAAACATACCCCCAGGTGTTCATGTACAGCAGCGTTCGCACGCATGTGTACGAGCAGGGATTGTGTATGTTTTCTCCATCTTTGTCCCGATATAACCTTTTGTCACTTCTTGAAAACAGAGAAACACAGAGACCAAGCATTTTGTCAGTTGTTTGTTTACAGTTACTAAGAAGTAAACAACCTTTTTGTTCTGAAACTCTGCTAGTTTGTTCTTTCGGTCAAAAGGAGTAAAAAAGTATGAAAAACTTCAGATCGAAAATTTATCAATTATCAGGGATTTCGTCACTTCGTGAAACACCGACGACATATGGCTTGTGTATTTTTTGACAGTTTAGCTTAATGCATTGTATTTTCTTTTTTTTAATCTCGGTTGTCTTGCAAAATTTTCAAGAAACACCTCTTATCACAAAGAAATTTTTGTGAAGGCTTATAATTGCATTCAACAATTCAATGTTACTTTACGCAAACGTTGAAAACGCAAGTCGCAACAGTAAATGAAGGGTTCAGCCCAGCATTACAACTAAAGGGCCAAGGACGGATCCAGAAACAACAGAACGGCGCAGAGCTTTCTTTTTTTGGGGGGATAGGAAATTTTTAATTTAACATTTTATGGCCATGCCGGAGGTGAGGCTGTATACATTTGGGGGCTTTGTTTACGCTTTTGTAAAGAACGGCAATTAAATTGACTACAAAAAAGCCCAACATTTGATCGTCATTCAGAACAAAAATTATTTGGCTCCTTGGGGATAGCACTAATGGCCCTAGTCCCCTTTGGATCCACCATTGCATGGAACTGATGTTTACAGAGAAGAACTTAAACATTGGAAAACGGTGTTGTCGTTCATGTATACGCATCCCGTATCTTGAAAAGACGAGCAAGCTTTTACCTTCTTTATGGCAAATATTTTTCACCAATGTCAGCCTTTACACCTACTGAAACGGTCAAGTGTTTGATCCCTCGAGTTTCGTTTGTAGCATCTATGGTATTGCCAGTAGGAACACCAGTGACGACAACTGTAAACGCAGACACACAGGGTTGGTTGAAATATCAATTAAGGAAGCAATTATTCCAGAGGACATCAGTTTTGGTACGAATGAATGATCAAAAGGTTCTTCTTAAATACAAAGATAGACATCAGAGGCTACGGTCGTGCGAAATGCACATTTTGTCGGGGAAGCTTCATTTCCAAAAGATCGACAAAATGCATTTCAAGAAGTACTTGAAGAATGTTAAGAAAGTCCATGAGTATCAAGGGGAACCAACCGGCTTTGGGTCGCTTTTCTCTCTTGCACTCAAAGGTAGATACTGTGTGCGTAGGGGTGAACAGGGGGCAAAGCTCTGCATTTCGAAACAACAAAATGCTGAAAACTGTGTTCAAAGCAAGGCTCAGTAACAACTCAAAAACTGAAGTACTTTGGGGATTCTGTCAAGGGTTTAGAGACACCGACCACAACCCCAACCCTCACCGAAAAGGGAAAATAAACCTGTGGGTCGAAGCTCATAAAATATTTTTGCACAAACGTATTTGCACAGTAGTGTACTACTATATGCTTGGGCATACAAGTTTGTGATTTTTACGGCTGCGCCTTGTGGACGAGCACTGTCACAAACAGGGCCGGACTGTCTGATGGTTTGTCAGTAGGCCTCACCCTTGACCTGAAACTATGACATAACACTGCAGATGTAACTCTCAAATTTACGGCGTGCACATTGAATTGTCAAGTGATATGAACCGAGTCTTTTTCCTCTATGCTCAAGGCAAACCACCTGAGATTCGCTACACAGTGAATTCCACCTCGCGGCAGAGCTACATGGAACCAGCCAGCACGTTCCCACAACTTACCGACCCAAAGCAGACGACCACTCGCTTCGGCAGCACGCCTTACGCCTGCACAGTGCCCGCCAGGGGAATCGGTAAATGTATTAAAGATACAGAAAACTACGCAGTAAACTCTTCAATCGATTCACAAACCTCGTCAAGACAAATAGGTGAACATGTGTAAACTAATCCGATTAGACACATTACTGCGGTGGCACCATACTCGTACTCACATTCTTCTGCTTGACACGCGCGTGCATTTGGCAAATCACTAGCACACATTGGACGAAGAAGCATATAACGCGCGCGTACCACCCGTGTCCACAAGCGTTGTGCCACTGCAGCAATGGCCTTAAATTCTGGTTGTCGAATTCCAGTACATACATATCCTTTATCGAACTACCATTCCTCAATCATGCTGCGATATTTGTGTGGACATCTAAGGTAAGCCACCCTTTGTCTTTCTGCCCTGCTCCAGTTCCTAACGTTCTACCTCCTATCACCGCATGCGATCCAGACAGAGAAAAACTGACTCAGAAGCTCTAATACAGATTCACGATGAGGTAGCTTGGAAAGGACTCTTTATACTTTCGGGAAATATTTTCACTGACAGAATAACATACATTTCCTTGCTTTAGATGTTTAACAAGCTGAATAGAAAGACAACTAATGTGTCTTACACCCGCCACACGCCTTTTCGATTCGTCTCGCTGTCACTAGACTGATCTGACCATATTCTGATGTTGAAAAGAAACCTGAGTTATTTTTTGTACATGATTTCAGCGGAACCGATGTCAAAAGAAAGGTTGGGCATCACCCCGACTCCATCCGATGAGACAGTTATGATAACTAATAAAACTCACGAAGAAAGCCCCAGTAGAAATAGCAGACGCGGATCCGCGGTGGGGGGAGGGGGGTCGAACCCCCCGCTCTGAGACAAAAAAAGGTCACAAGACTAGGAAAATAATAGAAAAAAAGAACTAAAGTAAATTCAAAAAAAAAGACAGCATCCCTCAGATTGTTTTGATGTGTACACCAATGTAGACAATGTATGTCGTGTTTCATCATTGTTTCCGCTTGTTCGCAAAAATGGGATATTAAAAAAAATCTCTGGACTTACACCCCTATGAAAATTCCTGGATCCGCCCCTGAATAGATGACTGTCTCATTAACACTTGACTGCTTATCAAGTGGCCGACTATCCAACAAAAACCAGCTATGTGCAGGTAACACTGCGATCTGCTGCAACACTGATTTAAATAAAGTGCATTACACTAGACTAGTGATGCAGTGTCCGGTGAACCGATCAAGTCGGAAAGGTGTGCGGCGGGCTTGAAATATTCTCGGCGACTGGCGAAATACAATTTCGTATGTAATAATAGGTTCAGAAAAAGATAAATTTATTGGCGTGGCTCTTTTTATTTAAAGCGCCACCATTTCTGCCAGATAGGGTAGCGAGTCTTGAGGAACTACTGGTAATATATTTTCCTGTACAAAAATCATTCACTGTTGAATGTCATGTGTATATCTTTTGTGTGTTTTTTTATATGAACAACATTACGATTCTAAGTACATTATTACGATTACATAAAAACATTAATACAATTCTACTTATTTCTCCGTACTACAACCATGGAAACAGGTAGGCCTACGTCGAAATCAAAATTACAAGAAATAATAAGAAAACCAAGTCTAATCTAAGAATAAACAAGCCTAGATTTCAAATAAAATGTAATGACTGTGGCTACTGTTGCATTTGTGCAAATGCGGTATTACCTTTTTGCTTTTTAGTTTTGGCAAGTTGTTCAACTTTCATCAACATTGTGTCAACCCCGCCCCACACCAAGCCTACTTCACTTCAGTCCAAGGGGGATGTCCTGTGCTGGACGTGCTTTTGTGTTTGGCTTATCCGCCTTTAAAATCATAAATATAAGTACACACGCGGAATTGGAATCCATGGGTCGCACTTTCTTTCCAAGAAGGCCCCTCCTTTTTTTGCGTTCGTAAAACTGAGATGACAGCTGCGTCATTGGCTAGATAAGTTAGAAATTGTTGTCTGGGACCAGAAGGTCCCCTTGCCTACCCGGACACTGACTGAATAAAAGATAAGGAAAACAAACAACAGTACAAAACCCTGATCGTAATCTGTAGGCTGCACAAGCCATATTGCTGCGGGTAAGTGAAGAAACAGACCGAGAGACAGACAGGCAGACAGACAGACAGACAGACAGACAGACAGACAGACAGGCAGGCAGGCAGGCAGACAGACAGACAGCAACAGCAATAAAAAAAAAACAGGAAAAAAACACACACACACAGCTTTACATACAAAGTGTGGACTTTCCTTTGTTCTGTGGTAGGGAAACTTGAGGAAAATGCTCCTTTTTCTCTAACTAGGATAACTCTTTCGAGCTCATTTTTGATGGTGATTCCCTGGACTGTTCCACTTCATTTTGCCACTGATAACCTTGACCCGAAAATGCCTTTGAAAATGCCTTTCAGAGAGGGGGGAACATTGTGTGGACGTGTGCGAGTTCACACTACGCCATTGCACCCTACATTATGTGGACTTCTTTTGTGCATAGGTCCACACTATGTATGGCACACCTGCAACTGGGGACCCCCTATTGTTCCGCTTTTGTTTGTACTTCAACTTTGTTAGAAGACCAACCATATGTTTTGTACACAGCTGTCAATTGGGAACCCTCTGTCAATCGGGGACCTTAATGTCCTCTATTGTTCTGGGTCCCCAATTGAATGCAGAAACAAACTCGCATATACTGTACATGAAGTGTACTTGCATAACGAAAGTGTACAAAACGATTACATGCACCATGCGATTATGAAACCAACGTGAATGCATGGCGAGTGAGAAACGATAAAACTTACTCGGAGTCGCTCGCGTTTTGCAAAAGCACCCTTCCTCTTCTCTTCCAGTACCGGCTCACTTTTCTTGCTTATTAGAAATATTGTGGGTACAACATCGGGACGAAGCATTGCCTTGAACTTAATCCCAAACTGATGTTGTTGATCGTTGGCGCTTCGATCAAAACAAGAAGGCTCGAAGTGTGCGGAGCAGATCACTGAGTGCTCGTTTGGTTCGACCACTTGGCTCGGGTCAGCTTCACTTTTGCCGTCCAATTTCGTCGAAATTTTGGGTCAGATGGAAAACGATGCAGACTAAAACCATCTTTGATAGTGTTGCTGCAACCAGCAACAATACAGGTCGGTTGCATTCCAAACAACTACGTCATTTTCGTAAAGGAGTGCGGCAAAATTCTCACGAAACTTTACAAGAAGTGTGTGTGACGCTGCCGATCAAGCTGCCACGTATAACCCGGAAAGTATGCCGATCTCCGGAGTTTACGTCACACATTCTTATGTTAATGAGGAGATAGGCGGGGCGTGTTGGTCACCCCTCAAACAGGTTTTTTTTTTTTATTTATATCAAGGCGGTGCAACCAAGGTAAAATGAGCAAAAAATTGTTCAGGTAGAAACACTTTATCGATTGAGATAATAAAAAAAACACATTAGATAGACCCTTTAAAGCCGTGCATTTCCAACACAATCGAGCGCCAAGCTCAGGGCGGTTCCCCGGGCGAACCCGACTCTAGGGCGGTGGCGCGGTTGCTGCGACGCGGTGAATTGCCATTCTCGGAAAACTTGGACCGAGAGGTTCGGATGTCCAGTGTTCCATGTGGCCGAGCGGGCCAGGGGTCTCCAGCCTGCCGTCCATCGGCTCGCTGGCCCACCCAAGGCCTCTTAGAGGGCTTTGCCCCGGGACCGGTTGGGCCCAAAACGTGCGTTTTCAATGAAAGTATTTTTGACCTTAACCCCCACTCCCTGGTTTACCTATTTATAGGGGGGAGGGTGGTCTCGAGCTCAGATCCAGCTACCAGAAATCAGTACAACCATATATTGTCCATATAATACGGGCATTCCTACACGGTGGAGCCCAAGGCTCAGGAGCGATCCCCTCTAAGGTCTGGACAAGCCCCGCTCCACAGCGGCTCAACGAAAGTGGCGGCTCGCCGCCCCACCGGGAGGCCCACGGTGCAGTGCGGCCGGTCGACCCCTCATGCCTAGGAGAGCGTCGGTCGGCCCGCCCGGCCTTCCCCCTAGGTGTCCGGAAGGCCGCTCCCGGGCCCCAGTTCGGCCGGACCCCGGGCCGGGAGGTTCTGTGGTGCCTTCAGGAGGGGCTGGATCGAAAAAGAGAGGGGGTAGGGCCCCTCGGAGAGCGGCGGACTCTCCGCTGCCCCCGATCAGCAATATCTGCCACGTCTGGATTGGCCCGGCAGCTTCCACGGAGCGGAGGGATCTCCGCCGGGTCCCGGCAGCAAGGCGCACCGACGTCGCGCGTCGGCGTCCCAGGGCCGGAGAGCCGGCAGCGGCCATCCGCAGCCGGAGCCGCGAGCAACCCCGCAGCACGCCCGCCGAGCAGGCGGCGGGTGGCGCCCTGCGGTCGCGGTGAATCGCAGCTCTGGCGGCGGCAGGCAGGATCCCCGACCGGGGACCTCCCAGACGGAGGGAGCTCAGCCCGGCCAGCCTCCCGGCAGGTTTGGGCACCCCCTCCGGGATCGAGGCGAGAGGAGGCCGGCAAACCGGGTCGGCGGGCGGCATTCCAGCGGCCGCCCACGTGCCTGGGGAAGGAGAGGAAGTGCCGCCCCGGCCGGGCCGGAGAGGGCGAGGGACTGGAGGCTGGGCGGCGAGCGAGAGCAGAGAGGCGCAGGACTCCGGTGCCGCGGTCCGGCAGTCCGGAGGGCCCGAGGTGGCGGGCCCCGGCCCTGACGGGCTACCTGGTCGATCCTCTAAAAGATTAAGCCATGCATGTCTAACTAAAAGCTTTATCAAGTGAAACCTGCTGATGGCTCATTAAATCAGTTATGGTTCCCGGACCGGCGTGGGGCCCGCCTCGTGGACATTCCTGGCTGCGTGGCCGCCTCGCTGCGGTCGCTTCAGCCGGAGCCCAACAGCCGGCTCAGAACGGGTACGGACCAGGGGAATCCGACTGTATAATTAAAACAGATCATCGCAACGTCCGCAGCCGGGGCGCTGACGCGATNTGACTCTCTTGAGGTAGCCAAATGCCTCATCTAATTAGTGACGCGCATGAATGGATTAACGAGATTCCCACTGTCTACTATCTAGCGAAACCACAGCCAAGGGAACGGGCTTGGCAGAATCAGCGGGGAAAGAAGACCCTGTTGAGCTTGACTTTAGTCTGACCTTGTGAAGAGACACGGGGGGGGGTGTAGGATAGGTGGGAGCGCCCCGGCCCGACGGTGAAATACCACTACTCTTGTCATTTCTTTACTTAGCCGGTGAGGCGGGAAGCGGGCCCCGCGCGGACCCAGTCTTCTGGCGCTACACAGCCGGCCGCCACCCGCTCCGGCGACAGCTTCAGGCGGGGAATTTGACTGGGGCGGTACATCTGTCAAAGGGTAATGCAGGTGTTCTAAGGCGAGCTCAGCAAGGACGGAAACCTCGCGCGGAGCAAAAGGGCAAAAGCTCGTTTGATTTTGATTTTCAGTATGAATACGGACCATCAAAGCGTGGCCTATCGATTCTATTAGACCGTCGTGAGACATAGTTTTACCCTACTGATGAGAGGTCGCCGCCACGGCAATACTGCTCAGTACGAGAGGAACCGCAGATTCGGACCCCTGGTTCAGGCGCTCGGTCGAGAGGCCGGTGGTGCGAGGCCACCACCCGAGAGATTACGGCTGAACGCCTCTAAGTCGAAATCTCTGCCGGTGCGCGGCAACGCCGCCGGCGTCCTGCCCAAGGGTGGCCTGCGTCAGCGCCCACCCGCTCTTGACTTGGGGGGCCGGGAGCTCCGGTGGAAGCCGAGCCGCCGTCTCCAGAGGGACGCCAGATCACCCACAGACGACTTGGGTATGGATCGGGGTGTTGTGACCAGTAGAGCAGCCGCTTCGCTGCGATCTGCCGAAACTAAACCTTTCGACCCGAGGGATTTGCCCGCGCCGCAGACGGGCCGATCCTGGCGGGCCGGGTCGGCGGACGGGCGGCTGCGGTGGGAGGAGGCTGCCGGGAGAGAGGCGGCGCCACTTGTGTGGCGGCAGCGAGACGGGGGCGGCGGGGCGGGTTGTGGAGGGCCGGCCGGCCTGCGGCCTTCTGGCGGGCCGGACCCGAAGAGGAGGAGGAGACCGGGAGGACCGGTGGCGGAGAAGGAGCGGGCGCAGCCGGAGGAGGGCCCGCCGGGACTGACGGCGGATTGAACCGGCGCTCGCCCGGCGGCCCGGGATGAGCCGCTGGGACGCAAGTCTGAGGGGGCCGACCCGAACAGACTTGAAATCCAGGGTTGGCAGTGTACCCCGCAGGAGGGCTCTGGGGGAGTAGTGCCGGGGTGGTGAGTTGCCAAGTCGGTCTTAATGCCCTCGTGCGACGGGCTGTCGGGCGTCGCACCGGGGCCTCCGGCCCGGGGGCAGAGTCTCGCAGCGGGCGGCGCAGGTCCCGCCGTGGGTGCCAGACGGGCGGCGTTGCGTGGGCGCCCGCTGAAGATTTCTTCCTCGGAATTCGTGGTCCACGAAAGGTCAGATCTCCAGTTTCGACCCGACTCGGGTGCAAAAACCGACTCTTCCCCACCTGCGAACGCGTCGGCGAGGCACCCCGGCTCTCGAGAGCGTCTCTCGAAATCAATACAGCCTTATATTGTCCATACGATACGGCCATTCCCACACAGTGGAGCCCAAGGCTCCGGAGCGATTCCCCCTGGGGTCTGGACAAGCCCAGCTCCGGAGCGGTGGGGACTGGTGGTGCGGCGCGGCGAATTGCCGTCCTGGGGAAAGAAAAACCCACCGCAGCCGCACACCGTCCTCCTAAAGCCGTGCATTTCCGACACGCTTCCCCTGGCGAAAACGGCTCCATGCCGGCAGGGCGGATGATGCGGCACGGTGAATCGCCTTCATCGGAAAACTTGGTCCGAGAGGTTCGGATGTCTGGGTTTGCCCCGCGGAAAGCGGGCCGGGCGCCTCCGGCCTGCCGTCCATCGGCTCGCTGGCCCACCCAAGGCCTCTTAGAGGGCTTTGCCCCGGGACCAGTTGGG